TAAATAAATTACCTAAATATTTGTATGAATATAATACATACATGGGAAGTATGGATGAGTTGCTAATTAAAAGTATAAATGAATATACTTGTGGAGGCATGGTTGAATTGCCAATATATAAATAAACATATTTAAGGAGGCATGGTTGAGTTGCCGATATATAAATAAATATATTTATCATGGCATGGCTGATTTGCCAAAGTTTAATTATATTGTTGTGTATTAAATGATTAAAATATATCATCTATGATTACTGTTTGTGTAAGTTGGATTAGGATTAGATATTCTTAAAGTAGAATAGTTTAATACTTACAGGTTAGTGTATTATTTTATACAAATTAATAAAATAATACTGGTAGTAACATGGATGATTTGTCAAAGTCTAGATATTGACTGTGTGATTTAAATACTTAAGATCATTATTGGTTTTGGAATTGGATATAATGTTCTTTTAATTATACTTTATGGTTTAAATTATTAAATTGTTGTCTAGGATGGAGTTAAGGTTAGAGGAGTTTCTTTAAAAGAAATTGTGGATGGGACCAGGTATGATTATTAATTAATCATTGATAATGGTTTTCGAATTAATGAACTTGGTAATAGTTGTGATAGTTATATTGTATATAATTATGTACATTAAAGATAAAGACTGTATTAGGTTTGTTTTTGATCAGAGATGATCTATTTATTGGTTTTCAGAGGTCTGGTAGAGAGAACTTGCTCGTAGGGTTTAACCCGCGATTTATTTTTAAGGTTATTAGAAATTCAAATCTCAAGGTTGAGGATCCGCAACTGGAGGACTTTGTGATACCCCTCGATTCTAGAGCCACGGGTGATCAAGTCCGAGCACAGAATACAAGGGATATCAAACAATTAATATTTAAACAAGCACTGGAATACAAGATGAATTAAAAATAAATAGATAAGCTGAAAAGAAAAATAAATAATAATTAAAAATTCCATACTAAAGTTCTCCAATCCTCTGATACCAGTAAATAATTAAAACCACAACTCGGGAATCCATATTGTGGACCCCTAATACTATCATAACTGAAATAATTGAACTGAAATAAAACTAACAATTAAACCATGAAGAAGAGTCATTCGTAGAGTCGGAAGAGTGAATGACTGTCTCTGCTCGGTAAGAACAATCTCTAAGACTGGAACTGACGAACATCTGAAAAATAATGGTGGGTCAGACCCACAAATAAGTTCTAATTTACTACATCCCAAACAGAGACCCGATACACGTACACATCCTAATTAATTCAACAATAACTAAATAGTCCATACGTAGATATATACACACTAAAGGAATCTCATTAGACTATAGAGTTGTCTCAACCTGAATAGTAGGCAACTTGCAAAACGCACATATAGTGGGCATGAGTACCTAGACCTACCAGGGTACACAACTACACTATATCTAGCTACACATCCCTGGCAATATACGCACCCTAACCACTGATCCTGAGACTCAAGCTCATATCATGGCGTATAATTATATATATAAAATCCGTCCTATCCAACCATCAAAGTAAATTATCCAAATATTATTTTAATAATATGTCATCCAACTATTCCGTTGACCTGACACGAATAAGTAGGACTTAACACTATAGTTAATCCGTTCCCTTATTAAGAATAGGTAGGACTTAACTTTTAAGTTAATCCGTCCCTAATATGCCCCCATCCCATAATGGTGCATTAATCCATATCATAACCAAATAAAAGTTTCAAATTCAAGGATAATGTAAATAATTTTTACATCTAATAAACCAAATTAGCATGATATAAATCTTATACACATCCTTTGCATTTACTTAAACAAAATATCAATTCTAAAATATCATGCATTTAATTTACATCACAAGAAATTAACATGCATATCAACTAAATTGTACATCTCTAAGTTCTGATTAAATTAATTTAAATCTAAACAATTGATTAAAAAATAATTTAATTCAATAATATTTTATTAATTTATCCTTTCAAAATTAATTAAATTTCATACATAGCATGTAAACTTAAATCATGCATTCCAATTCTTAATGAATTTACTTACATTAATTAAATATTTAATATAGATTCATCAATCCAAAAATAACAAATATTAATTTAATACTCCAACCTTAAACAAATTTACAATAAAATATTAAAATATTTAATGCCTAATTATTTTATTTATACCCAATTGATTTATTTCTAACCAAAACAGTATTATATATAGCCTCGTCCGGCGTGCATGCCTTATGCAAGGCATGACATTCCAAATTTATAGTTCAATCACGTGCACCCTTTATGAATACAGTAAGTGATAACAATGTCCAGTTTCACATTTATTTCTACAAATTGATTCCCCACCTCGTTCGGCGTGCATTCTTTATGGATAAAACTAAAATTTTATTTCATATACTTTTAGCATATAAATTGATTCATGTAAGCAATCATTCGCCTTGTTCGGGGTGCACCTTTTGTTTTGCAGACAATAAATCAACATGTAACCAAATTAATTCATGTTACAATTAATTCATGTGTAAAAAAAATAACAAAAATAACTAAGTAAATAAATTAAATTAAAACCCCAAAGCCATCAACAGTGCTAAATTCGGTGGAAGAGAAGAATTAAATTTCATTATTAAAATATGAATTTAAATTGTCAAATTAATCAATGAAATTTGATTCAATTAATTTATTTAAAGAACCTATAATTAATCTAGCATGCATAGAGTACGAATCAAAGGAGAAAAGAAGAATTAAAATTTGCCTTTAGAGATTTGATAAAAACCCTAACCTCCTTCTTCCTTTTTCTCTTTCTTCCTCTTCCTTCTTTCTCTCTCTAAAATATAGTACGGGATATATTTTCTAACCTCTTTCACAACTCTATAGTTATATATTTATAGGTAACTAAATTAACCCTAATCCTTTTCCGATTCTAAGACAAATTAAAATAAAATAAAAATAAAATAAAATAAAATTTAAATACTAAAAAGGTAACTTAAATATATATTACGTATAATCTATGTGTACTCCTTTTTATATATAATATATAAATATATATCAGATTATTATTAAAGGACTTTCCTTATATATATATATATATATATATATATATATATATTTATTTATTTATTTATTGATTTATTAAATATACATATGCATGGTTAATTATACGTACCTATTAAACCCCTTATCCAAGTAGTCCATATCAGTCCAATTGATTGGTCAATTACTACTATCCATATCCAATTCCTTAAAAGTATAAAAATAAAATAAATAAAATAAAATAAAAATAAAAATAAAACAATTAAATTCCTAAATAAATACACATCATCACATACAATTCAATTTAAACAAATAATTAAATTAATACATTTAAACAAATAATTAAATCAATTAAACAAGTAAACAATTAGCAAAAAAATCAATTAAATAATTAAATGCAATTAAAATAATTTTTTAAAAATAGCGAGACTATCCTTTTAAAATCAGGGGTATTATAGACTTATCTATTCTTTCTATTTTATTTCAAAATAAGATAATATTACTTCAGTAATTATTAATGGATTCAGTAATTATTAATGGATGGATTTATGGATAATGGATTTTGGTTAAGGGGTCCTTGAGTTACGGATTCCTGAGTTATAACCATTGACAAATTATTAATGAAAAGTTTTATTTATTAGTTTTCTTCAGCGTATTTATTCTTTTTATTTCATTTTGTACTTTGTGCTTGTTTGAAATACTTTAATTGTTTTGATATCCTCTAGTTTTGTGTGCAGACTTGATCAACCAGTGTTCCGAAATTAGGGGGTATCACATTGAGTCCACTGTAAAGCCACACTTGGACCATAAATGGTGAGGGATTCTGTTCAGCCACTCAAAAGCATTATTATTCATCTTCTTAATGTTTATCATGTGATTCTTGAACACCTCAAGTGTAAATGCATTAGAAGCATTCAATAATTCAGTTTTCAATCTGAGACATGGAAATTTCTTCCTAAAATTTTCATACAACCTGTCCAACACATCAACCAATCTTTTTTGTCTGTCAGAGATAAAAGTTAACTGATAAGGGGGACCAATGATTGCCATCAACTCATTAATAAACCACTGCCAAGTGTCTTTTGACTCAACCTCCACCACTTCAAAAACAATTGGGTAATAACTATCATTTAGGTCCCTACCAACAACATTTAACAACTGTCCTCCATATGGCCCTTTCAAAAAACAACCATCTAGCCCTACAAATGGCCTACAGCCTACTTTGAAGCCTCTCCACATTGCTTCTAGACAATAAAAAACCATCAAAAACCTTTCTTTACCCTCCTTGTCAATTTCAGTTTTCACTTTGCATACACTGCCAGGATTTATCTGCATAACAAGCTCACAGTACTCTATGATTTTCATAAACTGCTCTTCAAAATTACCTTCATTCATTTCCAAGGCTTTTGCCTTAGCTCTGCTTACCTTGAATCTAGAAACTTGTATCTCAAAATCCTTTTCAATCAAGTCACTTAAACCACAATTCTTCCAAGTTGGGTCCACTCTGAATTGGTTTATGTAGTGCTTGGCTATGTACCTAGATGTTGTTTGTCTATTTGTTTCAAGTGGAATATAGTGGTGTGTACTTCTATATGTCTTGATTTGAAAACTATTATCATTGTTATTCTTTTAGGCATGAATCCTCCAACCACATTTACTAATACACACAGCAATAATCCTATTTTTCTCATTTTTCCTAAGCCTGAAATAATACTTGTGTTTTATAGCATGATCCCTCAATGCTACCCTAAAATCATCTGCACATGCAAACTTCATCCCAATTTCTAAGGGTTTAATGCCCAAATCCCTCTCAACAACATATTCAGTAACCTTAATGTTACTATCAACTTCCTCATCGGATGAGCTATGAACACTTTACAACTCATCACTTGGTGCATATACAGAATCTCCATCTAAGTCTTCTACTTGACCCCATAAAACTTCAATATGACCATCTAATCTAAGTCTTCTACTTGACCCCATAAAGCTTCAATATGACCATTTAAGTCTTCTGAATGGGAAGAGGATTGGGAAGAGGCATGGGAAGATGAGTGGGAAGGAGAATGAGGTGCAGCTGTAGTTTCAGGTTCAGGTGCAGGTGCAGGTGCAGGTACAAGTGTAGTTTCAAATGTTGGTGCAAGTGCAGGTGCAGGTGCAACTACTTGTACCTTCACCAATGAAAAATTCTTGTACATTGCAAACATATTCAATAGACCATTATCAGAGACTATTAACACATGATTTTTATTACTAAGGTCTCTATAATAGACTTCACTTTTGGGATCTAAGTTCAGTAGTGTCAACATATCTTCAATTTCAAAATATGACATGCGATCAGGCTCACAATTATCAAATTCATCAACTTTCCCCCCAATATAGTAATAGTGGTCCTTATCAAATTTTCCATCATAATGTATCTCAATTGTATACTTTTTAGACATTATGAACAACACCTACAAAAATTTAAACAAACAATACTAATTAACATCAAATTACATGCATGTGCAGACTAACATCAAATTACATGCATGTGCAGACAAATTATTTACATGCATGTGCAAACAAATTATTTACATGCATGTACAGACAAATTATTTACATGCATTGTAAGGACAAGAAGATATCCAATATATTACATGCATGTGCAGACTAATATCAGTGTAAAAACATTAACGAAACCAACCTCAAATGCCAAAAAAAATATAAAAAATTAAAAATTACATAAGTTCAAGGCAGTTTAACACTTTGTTAGACATGTGGAGCTCAAAACAAGAAAAAAAAAAAAAAAAAAAGAAGGCAAAATGCCCTAATTTTTATCTCAAACCGTAACCCTATTTTTATAAAACAGCTATACAATACATTGCAATAAACATGAAGAAGACAAAGTGGAAGTTATTTAACTATAATCGAAGCAAATAGAGACATGTGGAACCCAAATTCGTTGACAATCAACACAAAACACTAAAGGGGACCACATAGATTCGAATAAAATCCTTTATCGAACAGAAAAATAATAATAACATCATAGAAACTATTGAATCACACAAATACAAACGCTATAACATAAATACCCTAACTTTTATCATCATTAAAGAAATCAGAAACATGAAAACATAAAAACCCTAACCTCAGAAACGCGTTTTCTCCTTTCAATGGCAGCACTTCGTCTTTGATCTCAAACCCTAATAGCTAGAAATTACAGATCGTCCATAATCAAGCCACGAAAATTACTGTGTTTGCTTCGTCTTTGGTGTCTGTGTTTGTGAGGGGCTGTGTGTGTGTGATCGACAATAGAGATGACTGATGGTGTGGCTTGGGTTGTATAACCCTAATTTAGTGTATTTAGCCCAAACGACGTAGTTTTGAGTATGTTACGTTTCATTACCCAAAACGACATTGTTTTGTTCAATATCTATTTAGGTCATTTCAACTTTTTAATTTTTTTTATTATTATTGAATAAAGATTATTGAGGGGTATTTTGTATTTTTACCTACTTCTCTGACAAAAAACCCTTATTTGTAACTTTTTGAAATTAGATGGGTCAATTTTGAATGGCAGGGGTGTTATTTGCAACTTTTTGAAACTAGAGAGGTGTTTTTTGCACTTACCCCATTCCATAACTACATGTCTAGCTATGGGAGAGCACAAGCAAACTTGGAATTCTTTTTTCTCATTAAGTATTGATCGATCACTAATAGTTAGTATGATATATGTTTGAAAAAAAAAGAAGAAGAAGAAGAAAAAAGACCAATCAAATCCATATCAATCTCTTCCTCAAAAACAAGACAAGCAATGTGCTTAGAATTGTGATTAGGTAATAGTGTTTTGTTCTTTAATTCGAATCTCTAGTTTTCTTTGATTCGATCCAGAGATGAAAGTTGTTGGCGTTGCCATCCTTCCTCCAATCCGTTGTCGGACATATTCTGCGGTGGCCTGCCATTTCTGTAGATGACATAGAGGAGAAGCTGTGCTGTTCCAAGTAGAAAACCAATTTCATTTGGTACCTAAACACGTACAACTCCCTTTTGTCAATGCAAACTTGTGACTAATAGGATGCGCATCAAGAATTTATTGTAAGAGAGAAGATACATACAGTATTTTACAATTATTTAACGACTATTTTTTATTACTATTAGTTAGCATTTTTAATGAAACTTTATTTATACTATACATGTCTTTATTTCTATAAAACAACAAAATATATAGAAAAAAGGCGTGATGGTAAATTCATTAAAATAATTTTATTTTATTTCTTCCCTCCAAAGAAACACACTCGCCACTTACACATCCATTTTGCTTCTTTGAGCACTCGAATTCTCACCATCCACTTTAAGAGGCAAGAGAGGAAAAAAAACTTCCTTACTTTCGTGACACCATACAACAGACACATCCAATCATATTGTGTAATACATATGTGGGCATATGTATTATACGAACAGTCCGAATGTTTTCGTTGTACGGTACAACAGGTGTAATGAAACTTGTAGAGGAGATATTGATTGCGTCCGTTACACCATATAATGGACATATCCAATCGTACTATGTAATACATACGTGAGCATATGTATTATATGAACGGTTCGAATGTATTATACGAACGGTCCGAATTATACATATATTATTTTATTTGGTATTCAGGATTTTGGATGTGATTTAGTGGGTGACACAAATAGGTGATTAACCAACTACTATTTCTATACTAAGTCATGGAATGGAAAAATTGATATAACAATGTATCATTAACTTGACAATGTAAAAAAACTAGTGTTATTTTATAGATGACACATGAATATTGATGATGGGAAAAGATAATATTTCAATTCTTAAAGTTTGTGTTTTTCTGAATTCCAGATGTGAAACAAGATAATGTTGATAAAGAAATCTTAATTTTTTAAATTGGTAAATTATAAACTAAAAAGGAAAAAAAGAAAACGCTGGATTAGAGATAGAGTAGGAGGAGGATGAATTCAATGACTTTTTATTTATATTGGATGGCAATTTTGTCATCTAAAATTTATTTTTAAAATGTTTATTAAACTTTTAAGTGTTTTTAACCAAATTATCCTTAAATGGTCATTTAATATCAATTAAGTTTCAAGATTGGTCACTATTCACCTTTTCTTAACTTTAAGGTCACTATATAGTAATTATGTTTAATTTTGGTGACCAAAATATAATTTTCCCTTATGAATTCAATGACTTATTATTTATATTGGATGGCAATTTTATCATCTAAAATTTATTTTTAAAATGTTTATTAAACTTTTAAGTATTTTTGACCAAATTATTTTTAAATGGTCATTTAATATTAATTAAGTTTCAAGATTGGTCACTATTCACCTTTTCTTGACTTTAAGGTTACTATATAGCAATTATGTTAAATTTTAGTCACCAAAATATAATTTTCCCAATTATTAAAGGCTTAATTTTAGAATTTTGCTTTAGGCCTCAAATAATAGAACAATATCAAGCCGCCCCTCTCATTAATAGAATCCTCGATCTCCACTACGTCTAAACCATAAACCTAAACTTCCTAACCCTAAACCCTAAGTCCTAAACCTTGGGACACAGGGGTTACATCCAACAGCAACAGGTCCTGGTACTCACCACTTAAGATTGCAGCTTGCACAGCGGCACCATAAGCGACAGCCTCATCTGGGTGAATGCTCTTACACAGCTCCTTCCCGTTGAAAAAGTCCTGCATTAGATGCTGAACCTTTGGAATTCTAATAGAGCCACCGACAAGGACTATGTCGTGGACACTGCTCTTGTCCATCTTGGCATCCCTCAAATACTTTTCAACACACTCCACACACTCCCTAAAGAAATCCATGTTTAGGCCCTCAAATTTGGCACGAGTAATGCTTGGGTAGAAATCTGTTCCCTCATACAATGAATCAATCTCAGTGGTTGTCCAGATAGCTGATGAAAGAGTCCTCTTTGCCCTCTCCCAAGCAGCTCTCAACCTCGTAATAGCTCTAGGGCTTCCACTTATGTCTTTGTTGTGCTTTCTTTTGAATTCTTGAACGAAATGGTTGGTTATCAAAGTCTACTCCTCCAAGGTGAGTGTCACCAGAAGTGGCCTTCACTTCAATGACACCCGTCGCCTTAACGGTGACAAGAGAAACATCAAAAGTGCCACCGCCAAGGTCAAAGATAAGCACATTCTTCTCACCCACGCTTGCAGCTCTCCTGTCAAAACCGTAAGCAATTGCAGCAGCAGTGGGCTCATTGATGATACCAATGACATTGAGGCTGGCAATGACTCCGGCATTTTTTTTTATGTTCTCTTGATTTCTGCATATTGCCCTCAAAAGTATCTTGTGTTTCCCAGAATTGGATGGATGAATCTGATGGTTCAAGCGATTCAATTCTAAAGCATAAACCTCTTTGGGCTACTTATGGCCCTAAGCATGGCAAAGGGAAGAAAAAGAGAATAGAAAGGAAACAAGGAGATATATACCGGACTTATGGAACAAGAGTTATTCCAGTGTGAGCTCACCATCCTTTGCTGCTAACTTTTTTGCACGAGTTAAATGATATTATACTTGAATTTCATCTTACAAGTTACAGTGCAATATGCCCCCTAGTAACTAAAAAGTTTGGTACTCTGTTGTGCATAAACACTTTATTTTGTACTCTATTATGTAGTAGAAAATAAAAGTTTTTCATAGTATTTTGTAAGGTAGTTATTCATAATATTATTTTAATTTTTGAAAAAACTATAACGAGCTTGCACGAGTATAGGATTAGTGATCTTCAAATATCATTTATACATATGTACATAAACACTGTATTGAAGGCCAAGGAATTGTCTTCCTACCATCTCTTAGGACCCACCACCATAGTCAGCAGTATCGTCCTCTTTGGGTTTTAAAACGCATTGTTTTTCTATGGATGCATTGCGAATGTACTTTGTTCGTTTTGGTGAGTGTGATTTGTTGGATGGCAATAGTGATTAAGGTCAATGAAGGATTGGGAAACTTTATATTAGTTTCTTTCGCTTCTGTTGGTGTGCTCCAATTCTTTTTCCATTGTTGCCCAGTCTTCAATTACAGAGCATCGTTGCTGTAAATTTTATAGTGTCTGAGCAATTCTGAGATGAGTGTTGAAATGCAATTAAATTTTATTTTTTCCAGATTTGTGCTATCATTAGCCGATGTGGATGCACATCTTATGATGGAAGATGAAAGTCTTGTATGGACGCGCAACGATGTTGTGCTTGTACTTGAGCATCAAAGTGAAAAGATACCTTTGAGGTGCGTGGACATGGAATTATTTACAGCTTCTCAATGATAAGTCTTTGAAGCACCTTCAATTTACGCTATACAAATCCTCTTTACTATCTCTTTCCATATTATAATTATTGCTAACTTTAGTTTCTATCAAAGTCATTCATTTCTCATGCTTTCCATTCTTTGTTTTACAATTTAATAATTTATTTATTTCAACATTTTTAAATAAGCATGTTCATTTCTGAAGTTTCTTGGCTGTCCAATATATGGACCATGAAGCACAGCTGACCCAAAGCTTGGATCATTTCTCAATTTGTGTCATTCTCATTTCTATTTTCAATTTTACTGTTAACACATAAGAGCATATGCCTCTTCTTATTTGCTTATATCTTCTCTTTGTTTTACTTACTATATAGCAACAACAAAAAAAAAAAAGTGTGCCTTCTTTGTTTAATAAAGAGGAGTATTTTGTGTTGGCGTATAAAGGAGTGTTCTGTACAAAGAAAAGTGTTCTTTTTTTGTTATCACTTTGCCTTTTAACTACAGCTTATTTTTACTATTGCTGTGTAAACAGTAACACTTGAGTCATTATTGCAACTGGTGCAATAAGTTGTAATATGACACAAATTTGGAATGTATGGCACTCTTTTCTCAATCAAACTAAAACAAGCTAGTCCCATCACCATGCAACAATCCCCAAGGCCTGTAATAGTGGTCTCTGATTAGGCTGGTGTGCATCAATTCTTTTATATAAAAAGATGGAGTTAAAGGGTTTTTTTTTTTTGTTTTTTTTTTTTTTCATTCTTCAGTGTAGAATTGCTGTGTTTCTTCTAGTGAATATCTTGCTCCTGTGTTTTTGTTGGACAGTTATGTCTCAGAAATTGAGAGAAGATATGCTTTTCCATCACAAGCGCAGCGTCATATACTGGCTGGGCTGGCTTCTGTTGTGGGTGGGTTGAGTGCGCCATATGAGAAGGCTTCTCATGTACATGAAAGGCCTGTTGTAAATTGGCTTTGGGCAACTGGTTGTCATCCGTTTGGACCATTCTCTAATACTTCCCAAATCAGTGAAATGCTTCAAGATGTTGCTTTGGTAAAGACTAATCTCATTCTCCCCTAAATTTTGCATGAAATTTAAAATGAGTTTAAAAGTTATTATGTGCCACATCACTTAAAGGCTATTTGCTACATAAGGAGTTCTTTTACTCTTTTGTTACTCTTCTGGTAACATGTTTTTATATTTCACAAGAAGTAGATTCTCATTGTTTACTGTTATTTGCAGAGGAACACAATATATGCACGTGTAGATTATGCCCTTCACCGAATTCGGGATACATCAGAGGTGACTTTAATATTGATTGGCTATCTTTTAGTTGTGTTTAGAAGCTTCTGAAGTCTTTATCTTTATTTGTACAGACGGTCCAAGCTTTTGCTGGAGAATATCTGAAAACCCCTCTTGGTGAACCAGTCAAAGGCAAAAAGAACAAGTCAAGCACTGAGCTATGGTTGGAGAAGTTCTATAAAAAGACAACGAACTTACCAGAACCTTTCCCGCATGAATTAGTTGAACGGCTAGAGAAATACTTGGATGTAAGTCATTTCTAATCCAAGTCGCTTCTTTGAGCTGTATAAATATCTTGGCAATTGACATACCGTTCCTTTATGTGATTTGGTATATCAGAGCCTCGAGGAACAGCTTGTAGATTTGTCTTCCCTGTTGTATGACCATCAGTTACAAGATGCACATTTGAACAGTTCAGAAATTCTGCAGAGCACCGTCTTTACCCAACAGTAAGTTGTCCTGGAATATATTCTCCTATCAATTGGGTGAAGAAGGTTATTAGTAATTTCGCCATTTTAACCGTGTGTGTGTGTGTGTTGTTGTACACAGGTACGTAGAACATGTTCTGGCTAGCGAGAGGGAGAAAATGAGATGCTGCAATATTGAATACAGATTACCTGTGCAGTCTTCTCAAAATTACATATATGCAGGAATTCTAGTGGCAGGATTCTTTGTATATTTTGTTGTAATTTTCTTTTCATCTCCTGTGCGTTGAATGATAGTATATGGTAATTAACACCCAGAAAATTGGTTCAAAGGCATAATTGTTGTTATTTTGAGCGAATGCAGTTATTGTCATATATAATTTTGAGAGAGGAAACTGATTTCGTTTTCATGAAATGTTTGATAGTGCATGGGTGTTAACAAGCTATGCTTATTTCTTTTCTTCTGGAATTTGGAGATAATTATTTTAACTTTGTTCTTTATGGTATGTTTGGTTGGAGGGAAGGATTGGGAATGGATGAATGAGAGGGATAAAATAATTCATTCTGAGTTTGGTTGGATAAATCATCCTCCTCCATTTGTATTTTCTTATGGGATGAATTGGTATAGGTGAAGAGCTATATGTAAAGTTCTTCTCACAACGTGCTTTAAAGCCGTCAATCTATCAGAAATTTGCCATACCTACTGTCCTTTCATAGCTGATTCTCAAAATAGAATGAAATTTCTCTCGATTTGGGAAAGATGCTAATTGAACCGCCGCTAGAGTGTGATGCTTCACCCAGGTCAAGGAATCCACTCACCCATAGGATGCTTCACCCAGGTCATGGAATCCAGTCTTTTAGTGGGGGCTGTTATAAAAGTGTTGTTTAATAAAATTAAAAATTAAGTAATGAAAATTTTAAAGCTGAATTTATGAATTTTTTAAAGCTTAAGAGATGATTCAGTTTGGCCAGAATTGACAGTTTTTTGGAACCAATCCATTTATAACAGTAATACTATTTTTAAAGAACAGACAGGGTTATACATATATATATATATATAATATAACATAGTAATAGTTCAATCCGAACTGGTCTTACAGGACCATAAATCAAGACCAGACCAAAAATTTACAGTTCCATAATATTGGAACCCTAGAGAGTCTGTGTCTTGCCCCTCCATAGCAATAGCAAATTTTAGGATCAGATTTTAGTCTTCAGTCTTATTCATATTGTAAAATTATAATAAGATTTGCAATTCTCTTTTTTATCATACCATTCAATAATTAATCACAGTAAGTGAACCATTTTGCTTTTCCTATTTCATTGAGGTCCAAGCAATATTACAGTCGGTGTTTCCATTCCAATTCCTCTTAGAGAAAAATTATTCCATCCAGAAAAATTGTTACGAGCTTTTTCTGGCAAGGAAAAAAAAAAATTTAAAAAGTAAGGAATTCACAAAGTTGAAAGGGGGAATTAATTGAGGATCAGAAATAGCTTTCTAGGCTGCATTGTCCATCATTTAACAATTGAATGCACAATTGTTCAGAGCCCAGTGCATATTCATCATCTACCCTCGACAAATATAAAAAATTGAAATAAATTAAATTAAAGAAACAACATAAACAAGTTAATCACCAAAAGAATAAAAATTTCGTTTTACTTCAAGGGGTCCTCAGAAAAAAAATGCTTGCAATTGTCATCAAATTAGACAATCAGGTCTCAAAGATTCATGCATCACAGGAGCCCCAATCTTGAACTCAAGAAAAATTACTAGAATTTTTCAAAAAAAAAATTTATCTAACAGAATTAATTTTATAAAAATGAGATGATTGAAAACTTGTAAAATTATAAAACCTAAAATCTGGCAAAATAACAAAAACTGGAAAAGATTTGGCAGGAAATTATTCACTACAGCCGGCGAAAATTATAGGTGCAATGACTCAACTCTCCTGCGATTAATCTGTGCCTCTAATGCGTGTATATACACACACAGAGAAACCTCCATCTGAATCATTGAAGGGTTCCCATCAAAAGGCATCTTCATCATCAATCAAAATACAGGCATATATATATATATATATATATATATATAGTCGTGTGTGTGTGTGTGTGTGGGTAGTACATATATATGTATAGAGAGAGAGACTCTGGTACAAGAAATCAATAGAGTTAAAGAGGAACAGTTGACGAATAAGATATCTCGTTGGAAGGAAAAGAGTACAAACGATGAAGGCCGATTGCAGCTCCTCTACTTTAAATACTTGAAGATTAGGAATTAGGGTTTGCAAAAGGGTCGGTGAGGACCGGTTAATTACTAAAAACGCCTTCATTGTTCTATCTTATAATTCCTATCGAAAGAAGGAATCGGACGACAGGCCCAATATTAGAGGATTGGGTTCTGACTTCTCTTCAACCTTCATGGACCTACTTGAGTCCAATCCATACCGAATCTAGACCCAACCCAACTACAGTAAGGCTTAACGAACCAAGACTTATTGGACAAGTGTCTTTTAGTAACAGTGTTTAATAATGGATCATTGTCCTTAATTGTTATATCATTCTCATCCTTTAATTCCAAATGAATTAAGTCACAAAATTATTTATTATTATTATTATTATTTTTTTTCCATTCTATTGTACTTGTTAAGTAAACCTTTAAATTCAGTCTCCTGAATCTAATTTTTTTTTTAATAAAAAAAAAAAAATTTAAAATTTTCAATAGTGAAACACAAATTCTATGCCAACAAGCATAATATCAATTAGGAGTTCCTACTTTTCTTCACTTTTCCACAAAAACATGTTTGGATCAATTTTCAGATTACGTGATGGAAGATGATATACTTGATGTGCCAATCATACCAATTTTCTGATTACGTGATGGAAAATGATATACTTGAATTGACAATCATACATGTTTAGGACCAGCAATGACCTTGAATGGCCAGTGCTCCATATCACCCTGAACTGATGCATCACTGAACTTCCTACCAATCAATCGTTTCGCATCTGGAATTCAGAAAAATATATACAAGACTTTAGGAACCACAGATTGAAGCAATAAAAAGTCCAAATATTAACGGTCTCCCATCATCAATATTCGATTATTCACATGTCATCTACAAAATATATCACACTAGTTTTTTACATTGTTATATCAATTTTTCCTTTCCGTGCTGAAATGACTACTGCAAGAATGAATGACAAACCAAAATGAAGTATTACCAATGATCTCTCTTTTCAAAGATTGGAGATTGATATATAATTCCTGCTTGTAAGCTTGCGTGTGTGTGTGTGTGTTTGCTTAAACGTTCAAAAAAAAATTAGCTATTGGAGTATTAATGCTAAGCCAACATAATTCTTTACAAATATTCCTGCTCAATGAGCCATTCAATTCAATTTGTAACCGAACTTCACTAAATTTATGCAAATGTTCCCTAACGCCAATATAAATTTTATATAAATAAATAAAAATTTATTATATACATCAGTTGAAAGGTAGGTAAAATCAAAATCACAGAAGCTATACAAATCCGAAATTAATTATTTACATAAATGAAAATAAATATTTAGTGTTAATACCGATAAATTAAAATATACTAAAGTCTACCGACCCAATTGAAGTAAGTATTATCAATGTGAATTAGTCTAGATAGTATGATATCTCTTATTGATAAGTCCTGCTTGTAAGCGTGCGTGTTTTTACTTGAACTTGAATGTTCAGAAAAAATTAGTTATTGGAGTATTAATGCTAAGCCATCATAATTCTTTACAAATATTCATACTCAAAATGAGCCATTCAGTCCAATTTGTAACCGAACTTCACTAAATTTATGCAAATGTTCCCTACAGCCAATATAAATATTTATATATATAAGAAAAAAAAATTAAAAAGATAATTTATTATATACCCATTAGTTGAGAGGTAAAATCAAAATCACAGAAACTATACAAATTCGAAATTAATTATTTATGTAAATGAAAACAAATATTTAGTGTTAATACCGATAAATTAAAATATATTAAAGTCGAACCCTCTCCTACAGAATCTACATTTAAACAATGCTCAATAGTATAACACAAAATATATATGTATTTGTACCGAAGATGGTGTTGATAGGGTTCCGAAGGTATCCTATATTTGTTCAATTTCTACTCCAAAAAGTATCTTGACATTGTGTCTATGTAGTTTTAATTTATTCTCCAATTAAAGTTATATATTGAAGGTTACTATGCAGAATTCTTTAGGTGAGTGTCTATGTGCATGCATAGTGTTTGAGAAATTGTTTAGATGGAAATTTGTATATTTCTTTATATTTTTCATTAAGTTTTTTAAATAAAAATTTGATCTCTAAACAGGAATATTAGGTTTGATTGGTTTATGATTAGGTAGCTTTGGTGCAAGAGAAATTTTAGAACTAGATTTGCTATATTATATAGAGTGAGGCATAAAGGATTTGTTATGTGAACTATAATGAAAAATATCCATTTGATTTCAAATTGGTGTCCCAGTGTTCAGCAAAAATATTTCAACATAATATGTATGCAAATAATAAAATGATGCTCAAAGTCTTAGTAAGTGAGCAGGCAAATTTGAATAATCTTAAGAGTTTTGACTTATCACATGTCAGCACAAATACAATTGAATGCCTGATATTAGAAATTATTAGTGACCAATATAGCTTGTTGCCTTCAAGGATCCTAGCTTGAATACTAATATATTGATGACTGTTTTAAAGAAATCTTCAATATGGATTCTCAATATTACTATTGTAAGACTACTTTGTCTCTTAACAATATTAACAAGCAAAATTTCAAAACTCATATGATCAGAAGCTAGTGTTGATTTCATGTGACTTAAGGCTTCTAGAATTTAATATGAGAATTTTATAGTCTTAATTGTGCAGTGAAAAGAGCTATTTTAAGTTTCATTAAATAATGAAACAAATACATTAAATAATTTGTGTATTCCTTTGATTTTTTTAAATTTTTAATAATGTTTATAGTCTTGATTGTGCAATGGAAGTGTTTTGATGTTTGGAAAAACCCAAGTTTTTTGCTTGACAATCACGTGTCATTCTATAAGTTTCTTTTTATATAGCAATTTGTAGTTGGATGACTTGATAAATTTCTTTTTATGTAGCAATTTGTAGTTGGATGACTTGACAGCACTGGAGATGTATAGAGATTCTGTGATGCATTAAGATTACAAAAGCCACGAAGAAACCGGACTGGAAGAATCTAGAAACAAAGGTACATCTCTTTTGGCTGGGAATATCAATGTGTAGGAAGTTTTAATCTCTCAACTCTACTTACGTTGACTGCTTTATTTTGTTTCTCAGTATTATTTAAATACATTGGTAATGCCTGCATGCTATCAGATTCGAGCTCTTTTTAATAACATCATTTTGTTTTCTAATACCAAAATGTGATAGCTAATCATTTTGCTTTCAAATTATAAAATTTGTTAACCACTGATTACAAATGCTAGAATAAAAGGAGAAGCATGCATTTAGCTTGAAACACTTCAAACCAAAAAATTTAAGAAAGTGAAGTAACCTGAATTGAGGAAAATGCTGAAGAGGAAGAACATTGAACAGTGAAGAACTCTTAGAATCCCTCTCTCCTAAATCCTTATAGTTGGTAAACCTCAACACGTGTCTTAATCTTTTTATAACCCATCTCTCCTAACTACTTCTACTACCCATTTTTTTTTTTGGAAAGTTGTCATTTTACCACCTATTGCTAAAAGCTTTTAATTATATTTTGTAACTTCTCTTATTAACATATGATCGATTTTTTCTGCGTAATTTTTTTTTTTTTTTTTGTATTTGTTGACATTACATTTTAAAAATAATTTCTTGACAGATCCATAAACAACAACCGGATCTTTGGGAGAAGAATAACTAGGTTTCATTCTTAGATTTATCTAGGTTTCAAGGTTCATTGATTGGAAAACTAACTACACCTGAAATATGTACAAACTTGTTAATACTCTCTTTTGTTGACTATATATATTTTTTCAGTTCAATCATGAGTTTAATTAATTTGTTAATTTTAGAGGATTTCTTATTATCTTTGATGAATGCAACTTATGATATTTGTACTCCTCAAAAAAAAAAAAAAAAAAAACTTATGATATTTGTAGAAAGACTTAACTAGAACTAATCATTTGTTGATTAGTGCAACCCCAGTTTGAGAATGATTACATGCAAAGGACTAGGGAGAGAGTGTTTTTTTGCTTTTGTTGGATATATGGGCATGACATTTTTCATTCTCTACCACTCATATATGATATATGAGACTACTGTATTCAATAAAGTAATGGGCAGCGCATCATCGAATCATCGATTCATCTACTAGTTCAATAATATTAATTTTGGCAGGAATGTTTGGGGAGATTGAAGTTTAAGATGGAAAATTCTAAGGGAACCTAATGAACTGATCAACTAAGCTCAGACCTATAACTTTAGTATGCAAATCTCTTCAGGGGTGAGTAGTTCTCCACCACTTGTGCAGTGATATTTTTCACTAGCCTCCCTCAAAATTTTCGGCCAGTGTCTCTGTCACATCCATCAACGAATCCCTTTTTTCTCTCTCTATGAATCCATCATAGAAACCCTAACCAGTTCTTACCCAAATTCTCTGAATCCATCATATAAACCCTAAACCTGTCTTACGAAATTATCCGAATCCCTTTTGTCTCTCTGAATCCCAAACACGATAAACCCTATTTCGCGATTTTCATCTCCCAATCGCATGGAGCTTCGTCTTCCATCACAGAGGATAATCGCCCAGGTACTCTTTTCTGAACTCCCCTCTGAAATGGTCTCTGGGTTTCGGTGTGCAAATAATTTGACAAGGGTATCTATTTTTCTTATAGGAATTTAGTAATTTTTTCATTATAAGAGTTTTCATATGCATCTAATATTTCCCTCCAGTTTTATATTATGGATCATTTTGGTGATATTGGAAACTCCTATAACTTGGCTTAGATTGTTGGCTTATTGGGGATGGATTATTTTAATTTATTTATTAGGTTGTAGGGACTAAATTTGTCAATTCTGTTTTGGATATATTTGCTTAATTTCTTTAATATTTAGGAATATCTGATATGTGTGTGTTTTTGTATATTTGGGTTCATTATTAAAACTAATGATGTAGATGTTAAGGTAGTAATTCCTAGTAAAATAGGAAGAGAAATGTCATGTAGTACTTTATCAGCAAAAATACATAGAATAGTAGTGTTATTGTACTTAGATTTTGCACCATGTGTATCATTTCAGGCTAGAGGAAGATTTGGCATACCATTTGAGAGCTCCAATTTTTTTCAAAAAGTTGCCCCCCTTTTAGTTTCTCTTCTTGTTGTGTGTTCTAGGGGGTGGGGGATTGAGGGAGTCCAGTAATAAGCATTAAAATGGCAACTTCAGTTTGTTATACCAACATTTTACTTTTAATTGAAACTAAAAAATTTAATTGAGTTGTTAAAAGTTTGTGAAGCTGATTCTAAATGCCTTTTGATATACTAAATTGCACGCTGTAACATGTGAAGTTGTGGGTTTATGTCCTTTGTAATTCTTGTTGACATAGCACAAATTTGTTGGTAGTCTATTGAACTTTATACCGCTGTATGGAATCCGGTCAGACATGTTAATTACAGTGGGTTTGTTATTATTGCTGTTGCAATCTTTGACTTTGGTTATCCTTTTTCCTTATTAGTTTGGGGTTATTGACGTCAATGAGCCAAGTAAGAATATAAAATATGATCTATAATTTTCGCAATATGATGATTTTATTTAGACTAATTTGATGGAATTTTGCAGATTCACACAAGAAGCCAGTCTTCACCAATGCAGGCATATAATCAGGCCATCAATGATCTAGACAAGGAACTCGATCATCTGAAGAACGCATTTTAGGTGCGACTTCTCTTTTTTTACTATGTTTTTGCAAGTGTTAACCTAATCACAACTATTCTATATGTCATTATTGTTAGGATTTATATGCCATAGCATAGCAAATTCCGATTTAGATCAAAGTGATTTAGATCAAAGTGACATGTGTTCCTAACATATATGAAATATTTATGTTTTATACAATTGATGAATTCAATGTATTATATTTCGATTCATTATGGAATTGATAGCGTCCACTTAATTACAAGAGATATTTATATATGTATGTGATGGCGACGATTAATACATGAACATAAATAGTAATCATAAATAATTCATAGTCTGTAATTATGGATGGACTTATTATTAACTAAAACTTGAACTGGATCCGCGTTAGGTTGAGATATCTTGCGAGAGCCGTCGTATGCAATTGCTCCCTATCACTGTCATGGCATTTGACTCTTAAGTATGAGAGAAGTATAGATTCTTTTATTAATTAGTAATTACTTTGATTTGTTCGGCGGAATTTTCAGAATCCATAAACCGGCACTTTGAGTAATTATGTAATTAATAGTTAGAGGGTTATATTTACATCATTACTACTTGTATTTATTTTGTATTGATTATGGTTGATCACAAAGTAAATTCGAAGGCTTTTGTGTGTTTTTAGACAAAATGATTTTCTATATATTTATTTATTTAAATTATTATTTTTGCCAAACAAATGTTTTTTTGCGATAAAGCTGGAAATAATCAAAGATACCAAAAAAAATTTTGTGTGTATTTTAGGTTACGCCTTTGTGCAAAAAAATTTAGAAGACAAGAAAAATTTTTCTCTCTAAGAAATTAGGGTTAGTGTTCTCATCTGATGGAGGCTCCCACAATCTTAACTCTCCAAGGTCATTCATGGAGGCTTATGGGTGATTCCTAAAGGTAAGATCATTACCAAGAAGATGGAGATTCAAGGATGAGGCATCTAACTAAGGGATTTACAATAAGTGAGAACATTTACTTTAAAGTAGATATTTAAGGTTTACTCAAACCTTGATATAAGTTTTCTATTCTTAAATTGAATGGATTATCATATTCTTCATGCATAAAACTTTTCTCGACACATGAATTAAGATCTTTATTTTAAAATTCTTCTAAAAGTTTTAAAAACTTCCGTTTTCCCAACAATTATTTCTTTTAGATGCTCACATTTTCTTGGTTTAGTGTGCTTGCGGGCTAGAAGTATCATAGTTTTATCAATTTTGTTCTGCAGACATAATTTTATTTTATTTTATCTATTATTCTATTTGGCAACATCTTGATGAATTTAACATTCCTTTAACGGCTTCTACTGCTCCAATCTATTTAAATGATTACATGTAATGTCCTATTTGCAATAGTAGGGATTGTAACAGTTTCTTACATGGTTCTATCTTACCGTAATTTGTTTTTTGCCCTTTAAATCACCTAGAAAGCCTGAAAAAAATAATAGGGGAAAAAAAGTAGGACCTTTAGCAATCCTAGAAAAGCTGAAAAAAAATTTATCTTGTGTATCTCTTGTAATTATATAAAACTAGACTTTTTGTTTTTATAAATACGTCATTCTCATTATATCGAGCAAACCAATCTGTAATGTTTTATCTTCGTGATGCTCACACAAGCACAGCTCTATGGCGTAGTAAATTTGTGAAAATTCTAGAGGTGAATTGGTCATTAAGTACCCAAACTTTGCTTGCTTGGATATGTAGATTTGCTTGATTTTAAGGAAATGTTTAATCCTATGTGACATACACGTTTTTATAGTTTCTCATTCAAGGTTTTTCAAAATCTTGGAATTGAATTTTCACATTTAAGATTTTTTTTTTTTTGTTAACATACTTGTGACTGAAATATGTAGGGGGTCACATGCCTTTAAGTGACCATTTTTGTGGTTTATAAGGGGGGTCACGTGCCTTTAAGTGACCATTTTTGTGGTTTATAAGGGGGGTCATGTGCCTTTAAGTGACCACTCTTGATTTTTTGTGCGCAAATGGAGGCGGGGAATTGTTGCGAATGAAGTGTGGTCATTTCATGTAATTTTCATTTGTGATGGGTAGTTATACTGTTCAAAATATAAACACAGAATATCACCTCACAATCTTAGAAACAATTACAAAGGAAATGAATATGCTTATAAAGGATACATGTCACATTAAATGTTCATTGATTTTTTTGCCTTTACTTCATTAAATGAACACATACTTAATTAATTTATAATGACACTAGGAAACAAGTAATATACCTCCTTAATTAATTGATATTTGTAAGAGATTACGCATGACTTATATAACTTGGTGAAGAAAGTTTCAGTAGTTAATCCATCCACTAAACTAAAATCAGCATTTTGTTCTTGGTACCCTCTCACTAGTTTTGATCAGCAAAACTATTATTTATCTTCATTTCAATGGTTGTATTGCCAGTAGTAATAATTTTATCTTTTTTTTAATTTCATCTCATTCTTTTTTTTTTTCTTTTTCTTTTTTTTTTTTCAATAATTTTTCTCATTTCAATGGTTGTACTGCCAGTAGTAATAATTTTTATCTCTTTTTAATTTTATCTCATTCTCCTTTTTTTCTTTTTCTCATTTCAAGTTATTAACATTATTAGCATACTGAAATTAAGACTTGTGTGATCCAGCTACCTGCGTGAAATTTGTACCATGGACAACGAGGTGGAGAAAGTGTCTGAACGTTGAAAGTCAACTTGTGCCAAGAATTAATAAACAATGTGAAGATTGATGTATTGATTTGTTTTAAACAAATGTTAGATTTTCTTTTTTTGTTTTGGCATATTGAACAATGATGAATTGTGAAAATATCTCTAGTCTTTTGATATGTTTAATGTTGTATTTAAATGTTGATTGTTTTGGTTATTGGCATCTAGTTGAAAGTGTTAGCATCGTTTAGTTGAAACTGTGGGCAATTCAGGTTATATGTGAATGATTGGGTAGCATTTGAGGGAGCTTTTATATATATATAAAAAATATATATGGGTGAACTGCAAAAAAAACTCCTTGACTATCCTTTACTTGCAAAAAAATCCTCCTATGAATATGTTTAGCAAGAACCCCCTCAATTATTCTGAGGGGATATTTTAACCTAACTTCGTTATAGTGATTTATTGAAGTAATTTTTTTAGACAAAATTACCCCTTTAAACGAAACACGCGCGCACGTGGCATTTAGAAAAATCAAACCCCGCCATTCAGAGAAGACATGTCCAGATTAATGAACGGCCCCAATTTTTATTACACCATCGAAGACATTCTCTTCGAAATCGTCGCCAAGACCCGACACTCTCCTCGTCCGTCCACCGACCCGCTGTCATATTCGGGTTTTCCCCGTACAGTTTGATGAACATCATCGGCACACTCTGCGTCTACGCCGTAATCTGCAAACACAAAAACGTACCGTTGAAGTTCCCGGGAACGAAGGCGGCGTGGAACTGCTACTCGATGGCATCGGATTACAATCTGATAACAGAGCACCAGATAGGCGGTGCGGTGGATCCGTACGCGAGCAACGAAGCTTTCAATTACAACAACGACGATCTGTTCAAGTGGAAACACTTGTGGAGGATGACTTCGGTGAGAGCCAGAAACCCCATCATCTGCAAAACTGGTGAGCAAAGACGGTGCAGGGAACTTGCGGGTAAGGAGAAGCTTGGCTGTGAGCTTGCGTCGCGGCACCGGTAGGGAAGGAGAAACTCGGCTGTGAGCTTTTCGGCGGTGACTCGGCCGTGGATGATGCGACTGTAATGAAGAACTGCGACGACGAGCTCGGCCGATGGAATCAGCCGCCAGCAAGCAAGGGAGGGCTTAGCGGTAACTGCAGATAGCTCGGCCGTGGGCGACTGGCTGTGGAGAGCGGTGGGCGACGGCTGTGGAAAGCTTGGTCATTGGCTCGGTCATGGATGACTCTGTGGTGATGATGATAGTGCACTGCTTGTTTGTTTAATTTTATTATTATTATTTTTTTTCAATGAAAAGTAATGAAACTATTACACTGTTGATGTAATTGCAAAAAAAATTTGAACCTAAGGGCGTAAAAGGAGGTTGAGAGAGGTAGTGGTGGTTGAAGAATAAGAAGACCGTGGTGGGAGGTAGTGGGAAGAGCTGGCGGTGATGGAAGAAAGAGTCAATGGTGGAGAAGAAAGAGGAAAGAGGAGCTTGGACACGTGTGTTTTGATAGAAGGGGTAATTTTGTCCAGAAAATTGTTCAATAGATCACTATAACGGAGTTAAGTTAAAATACCCCCCTCGGTATAGTTGAGGGGGGTTTCTTGCTTAACATATTCATAAAGGGTTTTTTTTGTAATTGAGGGATTGTCAAGGGGTTTTTTTTGTAGTTCCCCCAAAAATATATATATGTTATCTACTGGGGGCTGTGCACCCTGAGGGGAGTTTCTTGCTAAACATATTCATAAAGGGGTTTTTTTTTGTAGCTCGCCCAAAAATATATATATGTTATCTACAAGGGGTTGTGCACCCCGTAAATAAAAGCCCAAAACGCTGTACATTTAATATTAATGAGAGGCCATGTTTGACGTAAATTAATTATTCACGATAGGTCAAGTCGCTCGTACATTAATTATTAACGAGAGGCCATGTATGTCATAAATTAATTATTCACGAGAGGCTAAGTAGCTCGTAAAATATTTATTAACGAGAGACTAGGAACCTCGTACTTTAACCTTTTACGAGTGCAATTATATCTCGTAGGAAGTTAAAAGTATTTATAGGACCATAATAGATGAGGGGCTCATATGGGCCATGAATAAGTTTTCACGGCCTGTTTGGGCACTCGTAGAAGACCTTATTTCTTATAATGTGAGCACCCAGCCCACCCCTACTTTTCATCCACGTAAATCCAGACCTAGCATAAAATATATCAAATTAATCGTATAAGATTATTTGACTCGTAATGATGGTTTAACTATCCCATTCTAAATATCATATCATACTAATGCATGTCCAGGTCTAATAGATTGGCTAGAATTATGCATGTTTACCAAATCGTATGACCACATGTTCACAATCTTAGCGTAAAATAGCGTTATTACTCAATGATGTAGAAATAGTAATTGCCTAATCACATACTTGTGTCACCCATTAAATCACATCTAAAATCCTGAACACCAAATAAAATAATATATGCATATATCATACAAATTTACACATAATGTACTTACTTAAGATATCATTTCTTCTAAGGAAATATTCCTCATAATTTTTCTCCTTTTTGAGAATAACTGAAGTCGTGTTGGTCCCGATATGCGGTAACCTATAACACACACTTAAATCCTTCCTTGATTTATACTTTAAAGTAGCGTCAACCGAAACTAAACCTTCGATCCCTAATTCTCCCTTCTAGTAATGAAATCGATAACGTACTCTTTTACTTCTTTGGGTTTTTATCGCTTTCGCCTTTGACCCCATCCTCCTTCTAGTGCCAACCATTCTGTAACTACAGAATATAATTGACATTAGTTACTCCTAATGAACCGTAAATAGAGTACAACAAATCTTATTATAGGCTCTAAGTATTAAGAAACGCAACGCGAAAGTCACTGAATGAAAGACACTCCTAAGGACACTTGAACCTGGAGTGCTCTGATACTAACTGTGATACCTTCGAATTTCCACGTGTAGGTTGGCCAGGCCCACACCTGAAAACTCAGGGATATAAAAAATAAATTGGAAATAAACAAATACAGAATACAAAAGAATAAATAAGAATACATAAAATGCTGAAATAAAAACTAAAATGATAATCCAATATTTAAATCATCAGAATTAAATTCCATTAAATAATAAATTCTTCTGATACAACTAATTCTCCAAAATACAACTCGGGAATCAATATTGTATGGACCTTTAGAAAATCCCAAACTGATAGAATCAACAGTAACAATTGTCTACATCTAAATACTGAAATATAAAGTAAAATCCTATGCAAATAATCCAGAAGAATGATGATGGCTGGTCTCTGCTTTACACGATCAAAATTTACATAGTTCTGAAACATAAATAGTGGGTCGGGCTCACGAACAAGTCCTTTCTACAACAACCCAAAAAGAGACCGAATAAAACTACATATTTATAACTAACTCATGCAATAACTACATAGCCCATAAGTATATAACTATGCACACTAAAAACTCTCACTGGATTAAGGCAGCCTCAATTGTGTGGTGGGTATCTCATGCAAATCGCACACAAAGGTGGTCACGAGTCCTCCTTCTACCAGGGCACACACATCCCTAATCTAGTTATGCATGTCACTCGGCAATATACGCTTCAATCTTAACCACTGATCCTGAGATCTTAAACTCATATCGTAGTTTATCCATAATAATAAAATAAACTATCCGCCATAGTCTTTCAATGGCATGTCATCCAACTGGTTCTATGACCTGACATGAAATAGTTAGGACTTAACTTATTTAGTTAATTCATTTACATAATCCAAAACAAAGCCATATCCTAACAATGGCTTCCATGGAACCAATTCAAGCAAATCCCAAACATTTAAATATATCATGTCTCAAGTTTACACAATATAGATATGCAATTAACTATAATCATATCATACCATAACAACATATATCAATAATAATATTATATTATCAACTAATAGGAATGACTTATAATTTATTTAAGTTTCTTACATCATGTGTCTCATATAAACTGAATCTTAACCATACTGATAGTTTATTTTTACAGTCAAGTAAGCATTCTCCAAATATATTTCATGCTAAACATTTAATCTTAATTGTTAAAACAAATTAAAAGATTAAATTCATCAATTTTTTAAATAATTCAAATAGCATGTATCGTTGTGTTCAAGCCCATTTAAAATGAATCCCTAGTCCCTATTTAATATTCGGAACCCTTCATAATCAATTTGGGGTCAATTTAACACTTTAATGAAAATTTCTCAGAATGGGCTCGAACTCCCTTCCAATAGGCTCGAGCTCTTCCCAGGAATGCTCGAGCAAAACATGGCTCGAGCATTGTGACAGTGTGCTCGAGCATAAACAATCCAAAAAACCTATTTTTAAGCCCCATTCCTCATCGTTAAGGGTTCTAAAACATTCTACTAAGTCCCATCGACACACAAGCATGAAAATACATCATTACAACATGTAGAAATCCATAAAAACAATCAGATCTAAACCATGAATTTATCCATTCATACAACTAGAACAACCATGAACATAACTCATAAAACCTATGTTCTAGATCAATTTAAACATAGATTTTAATTTTAATAATCCTTTAAACATCCCTAAAGTTATACTAGAGACATATAGATCACAGATCTAAGGGAGAATTCTTCTTCTCTAATGGTCATTCTTTTTCTTCTTCCTTCTTCCTCTTCCTCTCTCTAGCTCTTTTTTTTTCTTCCGAATATCATGTAATAAGCCCCTCACATACTTATACATGAGATATATATATATATATAGGTTAATATAATAACCCTAATACCAATCCTACCACAACTCAGTTTAACTTGGAGGAAAAGAAAATAAAAAGAAAACTCAACTAATTACTATAATAATAATCCTAATAAAATATAGTAGTCTGTACACAAAATATATATAAACTGTTATATATTCAGATCATTACATATATAAATAAATACCTCCATGTATTTATAAAAATGAAAATATTAATAATATATATATTATATATATACACACACACACACACACACACACATATATATCCAACCAAAACTTTCATGTATTATTAATAATAAATAATAATAATAATAATAATACATACCATAGTAATACACATATATCCATATATATACACATTAGTATATACACACACACACACATAACTGATTCCTCCATTAATATTAAAAATACATAATAATAATAACAATATCCATATATATATATAGGTTTACTATCCAAGTAGTCCATGTGACCCTTTTGGTTGATCCATTACTACTATCAAAATTCATCCTTTAAAATAAAATAAAATAAACTAAACTAAACAATTAAACATTTAAGGTAAGACACAATTTCAAACAAATACACAACACATCACATAAATAATCACACAACACATCAACTAATTAAATCATTCAGGCACATAAGCACATAATCTCATAGCCGCATAAGCACATAGCCACATAATCAATTAAAATGCAATTAAAATAAATAATTAAATCCAAATAATCCCAAATAAATCCTTTTAAAATTATGGGCATTACAAATGGTGTACGACGTAGAGAAAGTAACAAATTCTAACTTTCTCTTTCCTTCATTAAATGAAAAAGTACTTTATAAAATATGAAAAGTAAAATTATATTAATACACATAATTTTTATTTTTACTTCACATTTTAGGAATTGACAGTAGAAAACATGAATTATTCCAGTTAGTGAACGGGCTAGGCCCCTCAGAGTGTGTCACATATACTGTAAAAACTAATTAGGGTAAATGGCACTGACACCCCTAAAGTTTTGGTCAACGCCATTTAGCGGACGATCAATTGCTTTTTTTTTTTTTTTTACATTGACACCTTCTGAGGTTTCAAAAGTGTGCATTAACACCCCTCCAGAACTCTGACACCATATGAAATTATCTTTTAACCCTTTGACTTGTCAACAACTCCATTTAAATTATGAAATTATAAATTTAACCTCCTAACTAGATTTAATAGACCAAACTAATCTCATATCTCTTCTATATACATATAGATATAGTTTATATATAATAATACTTATACCACCACCACAACATAAAAATAAAATTTTTTAAAAAAATTATTATTTTTTGAAATAGTCAGATAACTATACACCACCATAACTACCACCACCACACCAAGACAACACCACCACGATGTCCATCCATTACCAGAACCACCACAATAGAACCAAACGATACCATAACCACCACCACCACCACAATAGAAAAAATAAAAATAAAATTTTTGAAACACCTTGATAACCTAGATATCGCCATAACCATCGCAACCACACCCAAACCACACCACAACAACCACCATCAGAGTAGAAAAAAAATTAAAAACAACCATGGCCACCCCATACCCACCACCAAAAAAAAAATAATAAATAAATAAAAATAAAAAAAAATAAAAAAACAACATGTTCGAGATTGGGAAAAGAGACAAAGTGAGTGTTGACAGCTAGGTACTAAAATGAACCCAAAAAAAATAAAAAAGAGTTAAAGATTAGGATTGAGAAAGAGACTTAATGATGAAGGTAGTTTTCTCAATTAACAATGCTGATATTTTATAAATTAATTGAATTAAATAATCAGGGGTAAATATGATATTTGAAACTATATAGTGTCATTGTTAAAAAATATGTTGACCCGTATCTTAGTGACATTGACTGAAACTCGGGAGGTATCAATGCAATTTACCCAATTAATTATGAATAATTTTAAATACCTTATTAAGCTGTGTTTGAACCACAACCTATTAATCTAACACAAAAAAAAAAGGATACATCTACGTGATATATTCATAATATTAAAATTACCCTCAACAATTGAAAGACTAAAATGCATATCATTCCTGTCCTATTTTATAACAGTTGGTAGGGTTTACGTTTCATTTCAATGGCAGCTAGTTTATTTTTTTGGAATTTAAAGCAAACTGACATTTCATTGGCAGCTAGTTGCAGAGAAGAACAAAGGGTTCTCTTCTCATATTCGGAGCTCTCTCTCATCTTTTCTATGTCCGGTCTTTGCTCCAACAAATTTCTTCCTTTAAATTTACCAAATCAAAGTATAACTGCTTTGATTATGCTGTTCAACCCGCTTGAATTTGTAGTTAACTTTGAAGAAATTGTTAACTATATTATTCCTTATTTAATGAGATGTTATTGCAATATAATAAAGTATGGAAGTTATTCATCATAATTTTCTATATAAATTACTTTTCAAAGCAATTTGTATTAGAATATCTTCATATATGAAAATATAAGTATACAGGTTCTTTGTATATATCATATAAAAAGTGTTTTCTTTTCCTATTATTTCTCTCTTTCTTCCCCTTAATATCTTAATATTTATTTTTCCCCTTAATATCTTAATATTTCTTTATCTTTCATACCAAAAAAAAATATAAAAAATAAAAAATGCAATTAAGAATTACAATGCAATTTTTACGTCTTCTCTTTTTTTATCCGAAATTTACAACCTAATTTTTGACCTCTTTAGAAACAGTTGTTTGTATTTTCTTATTCTTCCTTTTAATCAAATTTATGCAAGAATATACCATATATATACAATCGTGCATTCTGGTGGATCCAGCACCATTTTAAGTTGAATTTGCACATTCAAGGTTAATGGAAAAAAATCAGAAACTATTTTTTTCACTTGGTACCTTAGGTTAAATGATTATATGTGTTGTATTTTGTAATATAAATACAAAAGGGTATTCTGGTAATTTGATTATTATTCTTTCTTTTCTTTTCTCTCCTCCATTTTTTTCAAATAAAAATACTATCATTTCCTTCATAATTTATAATGAATATAGGCTATTGCGGCCATTTTATTTGTTTTATTTTTTCTTATATCTAATGTTATCTTTTTTATTTAATTCTCTCTTGTTTATTTAAACGAAGCCTTAAAAAAAGTAATTTTTTTTAATTACCAAAAGCACAAAAAAAGAGAGAATTAAACATAAAGGAACTCACCAATGGTACACTCTTTCATTTATTATTAAAAAAAAAATAAAAATGGTGTACAATTTTTTTTTTTTTTTTTTGAGAGAGAGATAAGAGAATATATATGATCCAAAAGTCGTCACATAAAAAAGTCAATATATATGTTTTATTGCGCAAGTTCCACTAGGTTGTTGCATTTCATTTTTTTTTTTTTTTAGTTGAACTAAATTGTGTAATTAATTGTGAAAATTTTGTTAAATAGTTATATTTATTTTTTAAAAATAATTTCCAAAATAAATAATTGGATTCATTAATATGTCCGAATCACTTATAGCTCTTTATTTTTTTGTTGGTTGAGTATTGATGTAATTTATGCGGTTGTCAATATACTACCATATCTATATTGCCATGTGGCACCAAGTATACGTGGCAGAGTCAATGTGGACAGCTAGTTTTTTAATTTAATTTAATTTGTTAGTATTATTATTATTATTAACCTGGCAAGAAAGAAGCATATGGCATCTATAGGTAAGAATATGAAATCATATCACAACAGAAAAATACATTCAGTGCCAATAACACAAAACTATCTAAACTAACACCCCCAAATATCAATATATCATTCTTAACAATAACTGAGAATGGGATTGTTAGTACCCCCAAACAGAGCACTGTAATATCTAGAATAGTCAGATTTTGGACCCACCAAAGCATTTAAAAGATTGCTTATCAAATTACACTGCCTCACACACAGTCCAAAAACACTAATGACCTTGACCCACGAAAAGGCAAAAGACAACTTCTAGAAAAAATGTGCATGACATCAGCCATGACGTCATGGCATCCCCAGCCGAAGAAACACAAGCTGACCCAGTCGCTAAGCCACCGATAATCGCAAACCAGCAAACCCTATGAGCACGCCGCCGGCGAATGGAGCTAAACCACCAACCAGGCCATGGACTGCTTAAACTGAACCCCATGACTAGAAAACACTAATAACAACATTCATTTTTGAATACCCAACAGAAATGGTGTACCCCAAATTTCTTCCCCACGGGCCAACAAATCAAAGAACGGAGCATCCCACTATGATAACCCAGATGCGTCGGCAACCAAGAAGTAGGAGAAATTGATTTCGCTGACCAAGCCTGAAACAGTGAAGCCTTCACCCAGAAAGAGAAGGGAGGCAAACCATGAGATCTGAAAGGCAAAAAACACCAAGATAAAATAACACTAACATAAAAACACAAGAACTTATAGCGATACCCGGATCTAAAAGAAAATTTTGCACTGATGGGTCATCAATTCTTCCAAAACGGAGAACCCCCGGATTCACAGCTCGCTATGCACAATTGTCGGTTCGACAAGGAATGAAATGAAGACCCAAGAGCACCAAAAAGGAATCCATCAGGAACAAAAGAACAAGAGGAAATCCAAAGAAAACACTCTAACAAACAAATAATCTCTTAAGAAAAGAAAAAGCTCCTATGCAAAGGAGGAAAGAAAACTATGATGAACAGAGAATAGAAAACTGAATCAAAATGGAAAGAAAAGTTTGAGGATCTGAGGGGTTTGGGGTTTCTTTCTCTAGCGCCGCCCCAAACCGTTCCCCTTAAAGCCACGTGTGGGCAGTTAGGTGGATAGTGTTGTTTGTGGTGATATAGCCAGACTTGGTTGCAAGAATGTCCAAAATACAATTACTCCCTCCGTTTCAAAATAGTTATCCATCTTTTCATTTTGAGATATTCCAAAAAACATATCCTATTCCAAAATTGAATGTACTATTTTTTATAACATTCCCAAATTATCTTTTTAACTAAATAATCGCACTAATTACGAAGCACTATTTTGATTTTTAATAAGGACATATTTGAAACTTCACTCTTATTAATATAATAAAAAATAATTAAAATTTTGCGATCATAAAAAATTAGATTCTCCGAACATGTATTATGGTACCGAGGGAGTATTAATTATACCACCAGTTGGTGTGCATGTGGAGGGGGGCTGTTTATTACAATTAAGAAAATTGTGTATCACTTTGGCCTCTTCTCCTCACTTCTCTTCCTGGGGTCCAATAACTCAACATATATGTCAGTGTCACATATTGGTGTACTTATCTATATATCTATATATTGACCCCCACAAAATAGTGACATTAAATAAGTGGGATGGCTTTAAGTTTAATAATGAGTAGAGTTGAATAGAGCTCAGATGCATGTAGTTTGCATTCCGCTTGTTCATTTTTTGGACTCCATTTAGGGTCATCTCAAGCTTATAAAATTAAGTGTGAGCTCTATATTTTAATTACATTTTATCAACCAAAAAAAATGTATGTATAGAAATTAATTATTAATTAAAAAATATTAGACGTGTGTTTTCAAATAAGTTGACGGAAAGTCATAAAACAGTATGAATACACTTTCAAGATTGACATATTTGTTTAATGCGCGGTTCATTTATGGCCCTACTCATTTCTTAATCTCTTTCATTCGCATCTTGGGATGGCCCGATAGGATATAGATTTCAAAAACTATATCTCAATGAGTAATGCTTCTAAGAAGTCTGTCTCATGAGTCATGAGAAGAGTCGTGAGCTATCCTTATTTAGTCATTAAATAAAATAATTTTTTGAGATATGTAAAAATACTAAATTAATTATTTAATGCATCTAAATTAAAATAAAAAATAAAAAAGAAACCTCGTGACTCTTCTTGTAAAAGGAACCTCTTAGAAACATTACTCTATTCCAATTAAGTGAATTTAGCAACCTTTTGTGTTGACACCTCCTGACTATTAATACATCTTATATTTAAGTTAAATATTAAGATTCTCCAACTACAAATTAATTACATTTTGCACATTTTCATACTCCAAGTAGATAGGGACGAATATGTTTGTTTGGACGTAATATATATATATATATATAGCTGAAAAATAATAAAAAATAAATGCCCATTTTACCTGAAATATATATATATATATATATATATATATATATATATATATATATATATATATATATCAGGTAAAATGGGCATTTATTTTTTATTATTTTTCAGCATCTGGTGAAGGATTAGGTCAAGGTTTAGTCTATCGAGTTGGGCCTGTAAAATCACTTGTCAAAAATTGATAAGTAAATTTTTTATTTATTATTATTTTTTTTTACAGTTTTAATAAATTATTTTACTTAAATTTTTAAAAATCAAACACAAAAATATAAAAAATATTTTACTTCAAATCAAACAAAGCTAGTCGAGTTTAGGTAAATGAATGCATCTAGTGACAAGTTTACAATCCCTTTTGAGTCCTAAAACGGGATGGCCCAAGATGTTACTTTGGGTTTCTAAAGATAAAAGTTGTCAGTTGGTAGTGGGCCCAATCCGAATTATATCAGGCTTGGCTTAAACATTCAGGTCTACTCCTATTCAAGGTTGGTCCTTGGGCTGGATCAGCCCACTTCCCTTCAACCCTTCGGAAATCTCGTTATAGCAATTTAAACAATTGGGAGCACTAGACATCTTAAGATTAAAATTGAAGAAAATTCAGTTTAAATTTAAAAAAAAAAAAATTTTCAATTTCAAATCTAAGACCACTAATTCATGTTCCCAAACATAGCATTTATCTATTAATTCAATTGTTTAGTTTCAACATTTGAAGAAAATTTAGTTATAAAGATAGTCTTGTTACTTGTATACAATTAATTATACAATGTATAACGAGAAAACTTAATTTAATATTAGAGCCTGTTCTGTTTTAATTTATTGCATATGTGAAGGTTTTGCATGTTCAAACTTCAAAGTTGTATATATATATATATGTATCTTCCATCATCTCTGAAAAGCCAAAAAGATTCGATCATTGTTCACCAATTAGATGGTGTATGTACTGATAAAAAAGTGTTTAATATTTTAATTTTATGTTTTTGCTTTTTGTTTTTGTGTGTTTTTGAAGCAGCGGGTTTGTCGTAATAATGGATTATGGACAGCAAGAGCACTATGCTTTAATTGTGTAGCTAAGATGACAAAAGCATGCATGTATGCATGAGACAGAACACATTTTTTTTTTTTTTTATAATACATAAATACTCACAGATAATCTTAAATACTCAATTTGTTCCATAACTACATGTCTATAGGAGAACACAAACAAACTTGGAATGCTTTTTTCTCATTAAGCATTGATCGATCACTAATAGCTAGTATGATATATGTTTTAAAAAAAAGAAGAAGAAGAAAAATGACCAATCAAGTCCACACCAATCTCTTCCTCAAAAACAAGACAAGCAATGTGCTTAGAATTGTGATTAGGTAATAGTGTTTCATTCTTGAATTCGAATCTCTACTTTTCTTCGATTTGATCCGGAGATGAGATGAGTTGTTGGCGTTGCCATCCTTCCTCCAATCCGTCGTCGGACATATTCTGCGGTGGGTTGCCATTTCTGTAGATGGCATAGAGGAGAAGCTGTGCTGTTCCAAGTAGAAAACCAATTCCATTTGGTACCTAAACACGTACAACTCCCTTTGTCAATGCTAACTTGTGACTAATAGGATGCGGGTCAAATTTTTTTCTTTCAATAATGGTAGGTTTAGAAAATGTTATTAAAACTTTTATTTTTTTATTTTTTACGGGCAAGAAATACACGCACCCCTTGAACATTCAATTTGGTTTTTTGAACATTCAAACCCTCACCGTGGCGGATCTAGGATTTCTCGTTGGATGGGATAATATTATTAATAATTTTTTTTTTTTTTTTTTGGTTGAGCTAATATTAGTATAGTAATTTTTTATTTTTATTTTTATTTTTTGGGAGTGGGCTACAACCCACCTAGGCCCACCCTTCTATTTGCCTCCACTTTAAAAGATAAAGGAGAAAAAAAACTTCCTTTTGTTCGTTTATTAGTAGGGTCATTTGTTTCACATTGGATTAAGATGGAAAAGTAATTGAGTATAAATGGGTTGATATGTAATATTAACCAACAGTTTGAACTTTTGAGTAAATGGGTAAGCGTCCACCTGTTATAGTTGATATCAGAGTCATATCCAGTCCTTGATTCAGTGTCATGTCAAGTGCTCAGTTTGAAAGGCGTCCGAGTGAGCCAGTTCGGGTAGGCAGGGTAGCCCAAACTACAACGAGAGCATTGTGAATTTGGGTGGGGTAAAATATTACAATAGTTATTTGTCCTACATCGAATCCAAAAAAAAAATAATTAAATATAAATGGGTGAATATATATAATTATCTAACAGTTTGAACTTTTAATTACACTGTTGCACCATAAAACGGCCGCATCTAACCATATTGTGTAATATATGCTTGGACATATCACATATCTATTATAGGAACTATCCAAATGCTTTAGTTGTGTGGTGCAACGAGGACACACTATTAGTGGTAATTATTGTACCTGCCAAAGTTTCATATCGTATTCAACCGCATAAAGCTAATAATATGGGACCAATTCAAAGGGGAATAGTCCCACCGAAAAAATAATAATAATAATAAAATAAAATAAAAAAAGAAAAATAAAATTGAGACTAAAACAATGTGAATGTAATGACTATATTAACCCTGCATTAATAGTGGTGTAAAAGAAAAGAGAAATTGCTTACTCCGAGGAAATAATCTTGTACGAGCAAAGCGTAGAGAGCCCAAATCCCACCATTCAAGAAAAGGAAGAATGAGAGGAAGAATGGCATATACTCCACACTCTTGGTTGTCACCACCCTTGTCTGAAAGCAACAATTTTAAGCATCCTTTAGTGTGTGTACTATCACCTAGTCATGACCATAGCACAAAAAGTGGGTGAATTGGGTTGGATAGACAGGGGTTAAGCCCGGCCCACCTGGGCCCAGTGGCACATGTACATGTGAGTTTCATGACTCTATTATTCAACCCTAAAGGTCACTCTTCCATTTTCTTTTTCCTTCGATTTTACAGGTGAAAACTATATATTTTTGTACTATTTAGAGTAATAGGCACCACAAATTAAGCCTGTTTCACCATTAATATTCACAGGTCAAAAACATTTTTAACGAATAGAATCTAAATAACAATTGCTAAATTGATTCGTTAGGCTAATAAACATATTCGTGAACAGATTTATTTGGAGTTTTATTATTTTTACCAAATATGTTTTTATATTTTTGATTCCAAAAATAAAAACTTGTTTTGTTTCAAATTAGGAAAAATTATATGTTGGTGACCAAATGTAAACAAAATTATTAAAAAATGACGTCAAGAAAAGATGGTTAGTGACCATTTTTAAAACTTAATTGCTAATAAGTGACCATTTGAAACAATTTGATCAAAAAATACTTACTTGTTTATAAAATATTCTAAAAATAAATTTTAGATGACAAAATTGTGGATTCATTCTCCTTTCTTTTTCTTGTTCTATTTTTCCCTTTTTAGTTTGCAAATTACCAATAAAAAAATTAGGATTTCTTTTTTAACTTTTTTAATATGTATATATCTTATATTTATAATTTCTTTATTAACTTTTTTTTTTTTTTCACGGCTTTCCGGCGTGATCAAAAAACATGTTGAGCACAGAACTAAAAATATTAGATCCATAATTATAATTTATATGAATTTGTATACTTTCACGTTTGATCGAATTATATATATATATATATATATATATATATATATATATATATATATATATATACACACACACATCTTGTTCACATAATAAAAGATTAAAAATCACAACACCATTCAAATACACCTCCATTCCCTTTCCTCTTCATCTTATCCTATGATTGTCGGACAACAAAAGTATTTAATGTTGAGAATAAATTTGTTCAATTAAAAATATATATATAATTACAATAAGGATATTTATGTAATAAATCATCAAATGGTCACTTATTAGTAATTAAGTTTCAAAATTAGTGACTATTTCTCTTTTCTCGACTTTAAAATCACTTTATAGCAATTTTGTTTAAGTTTGGACACCAAATTATAATTTTTCCTTCAAATTATAACAGCACAAAAATAAAATGCATACTAAACAAACCCCTAAATTAAATTCATTCGAAATTGGCTAAACAAATCAAGCCATTTAGGGTGGATAAATGGTTATTTAAATAATCTACATGTGAAAGACAAATTTAATATCACATCGCATGTCTATATATGTATATGCATAATAAAAACATGTGGCTAATTTAGGCCAGTAGCATTTGTCATACAGCTGGATTTGATGCAAGTTGGCGCCCCTTGAACACCACAAAAAATGCATGGGCTGAAAGCAACAGCCCGCGGTTCTCCCACACCTCAGGAACATTTTGGGCCATTTCATTGACACAACACAAGAAACACCAGCATAATTGTACCAAAAAAGGAAGAAAAAAGCACGCAGTACTTACACCTATGCGGTTAATCTCAGAGGATCCTAAGTTCATTCACTCGCAATAAATATTTTAATGAGTCAAAAATATTGAATACTCAAACAGAATGCAGTACTTACAAGTTACACATCTGTTGTTGATCTTAGGTGATCCTAAATTCATTTAGCAGCCGACGTTCACTCATAATAAATATTTTTAATGAATTAAAAATGTCATCAATTACTAATTAAATACTCAAATGTGAGATGTATAGATAATTGATTGATTAGTGAGACCCACACACACACTTGTAAGTACTGTCAGCCATTTGTCCAAATTTGGACCTCAATCATTTTCCTCTACAAAACCTACTCAAATTTCATTAATTGTGGAGATGGAGTTCATTATGTCTAATCCAATTGCTTAATGAAGGTATCATATTCATGTATGTGTTACCATGGCGGCCAAAGGCGAACCATACATGACAATGTTAAGGCCTGCACACACGAACCCTATTGCAGCGATTCGTACATCTCCATGAGACGCCACCTGAGTCACTACTACTGCTGCTGCCAAGAAACCCACGTCCAATATCGCCACAAGAATGGTAGTCTTTGCCTGGAATTAAGAGAGATGATTCATATATTTGTGTGTGCATATATATATATATATAAAGATATATTGTAGATAAAATGGTATACGTACCCTCATTTTTTGAGGAGCAAATATAAGAAAAATGGCAACGTAGATAGCTTCAACAATGATGCCAAAGCCATTGACAGTGGCAACAAGTAATCCACCAGGTTTTGTGAGACCATAGTAAGTCCACATAGAAGAGCTTAGCAGCGTGCAAATGTAAGGAAGGCTCTCAAAGTCTTCAGTCGATCTGTGCTTTACTATCCTCCAAAATGTAGATCTGCATATATCCCACATTTATTAATTTTGATCATCATCAATGCTAATGTTTTTATAAGTGGATCATACAAAATTACTAGCTAGGTTACTATAAAGAGCTAGAATTAATTATTGGATATACATATACATATATCATCTCAATTAGATCAAGGGATAACATATTAGATTGGGCTTCTCTCTCTCTCTCTCTCTCTCACACACACACACACACACACGTATAAACACACGCATGAATAAAGGGATCACCAAGATGCTTGAAAGAACTTACATGGGGGAGAGAAACACCAACACTGAGATGATGTTGCCTGAAAGAAGAAATTAAAGCTAGGAAATGAGCTTCTTTTCCTTTGCATTAATGCAAAAAATTCAAATGGTATTGTAATATATATATATATATATATTACAAATGGTATTAAAACAGTTTCTTACCAAGAACTCCAATAGAGAAACTCAAGCCTTCCATGTCGATCTGCAAAAGAAATTCAGATTAGAAGAAAATAGAATGGCGCGCGCCAGGATATTTGGTTTGGGGGGTGTTTGGTTTTGGAAGAGAACATAAATTAAGTGGTGTGTGTTAGCTTTTAAAGTTGAATATTGCATTATTGAATTGGTAGGTTTATATAATTGAATGCCTTTAAATAATGCACATCTCTTTGGTACCATATATGTGACTGATAAGCAATATATATATATATATATATTGGCATATAATTTTTATATTGGATCAGTGAAATGTAAAACATCAAGCAGGTGATCAAATTGGCCAATTAAGGCAATGGCTAAGGAATCAGTGGCATCAATTAGTGAATCTGAATCCAAGGTTGGTTGAAATGGTTGGTCACTTGAATTTAGTGCCTTATAAATATCAAAGTTTAAGCTTCGACTTCACAAGTGTAATTAAATAATTCAATGGACCACGCCTATTAGTAAAAGTCTAAATTTTACACTCGCGTGGTAAAAACATTTTGCACGATGTCTTGAGGATTAGTTGGACAAAACTCGATACCCCAATTCCCAAAAAAATAGAAAAAAGAAAAGGTAATGCTAATACAACTAATTACATAAAACCAATAATGTAGTCATAGAGATATAAGTCTCTTACATATTTATTCATTTATTAATAATGTTTACTTAGAACCTCTTTTTTTTTTTCTTTTTTTTGTTTTTGTGGATGCATGAAAATAAATAGAGATATTTTTTCTCTTCACTTGATATCAATTGATAATAACTAGAGATTTTTGCTAAATAATTAGTACAAAAACTCATATGTATAAATTAATCAATCCATGAGTGGGAATATCTATTTTATGAATAGAACATGTCTCACAGTAAACCTATTTTGTTAAAGGGTACTAGTGATCATTTCAATTTAAATCACATCATTATCTCAACGTACATAATTTTATACATTTGTAGGCGCAAGTAATATTTTTGGGAAAGAAATTTTTGGGGGAAAAAAAAAAAGAAGGAATTTTGGCAAAGAAAATACTTTGAGGATGGAACAATATCACTGTCACTGAATAGATTCAATGGATTAGGGTGTGAATCCCCTTAATTATAATATGTTATCTTCAGTTGTATGGAAATAATGTCTTAAAATTAATACTTAGTTGAATTAAGAAAAAAAAAAAATTAGTTTAACAAATTTATTTATCAAATGCTATGTTGTATGAAATTGATGTCATATGCTATGTTCAATTTTAAACTAAAAATTTTCAATTTTCAATTTTAATTTTAAGACATCAATTTCATGGAATCGAAGATAGCGCAAGTAAATTATAGAGGTGGTTTTCATGGTCCCATGACACACGCACACACATATATATAGAATAATAGTAATTAGAGGTGATTTTTATGGTCCCATTGTCTCACCAACTTGAACAGCGCAAGAATAACGTGCTTTCTTTCTCAAACTTTAGGCAACTTTGATTTTCTCCATTATTTATATATTGTTTTATTTTATTTTATTTTTTCATTTTTTTTCTTGGCATACTCAACCGACTATTTTTCTTGGCCAAAGCTTTCTTATCCATGGCGTGGATGCATGGCAACCATCATTTTATTATTATTTATTAAACAGATGGTAGGAATTTTTTCTTATCAATTCAATTTTCTTGCTTCTATGATAATATAAACAAATTTAAAATAAAAAATAAAGGTCTAACTTAAGCATGTCATGGTCTTATAGATTTAAGACTAGGGGCTCCATTGATGATCCAACAATGGAGCCTCTAGATCGAGTTTCTAAAACTCAATTAATAAGTAATGTTCGATTAATGGCTTTAGGAGCAACAATAAAAAGTAATTTACCCATAAAATAGAAAATAAAAAATTTGACGGTAATTTTATCAAAAAAAATATTGAAAATAAAAATTTTACAGTATTTCTCTGATTAATTAATCTATGTACGTTCATAATTGTTAAATATAGTAAATTATTAACAATAATGAAGCATATATTTATATATATATATATATATATATATATATATAGCCCAAACACTATTTATACAGATATATGCATTGGCTTGCTAAAAAAAAATAATCAAATTAATTAAATATGCATAAAGAAACATTTTTTTCTTTTTCTTTTTTGTTTAGCAACAAAAATAGATAGCTTTTGAGAGTAGCATTTTTTTTTTTTCCCTAAATAATATATATATATATATATATATATATATATATATATATATATATATATATCTCAATAGATAGCTTTTGAGAGTAGCATTCTCTTCAGAGAATCTGAACCTATGCAAGTTTTTTTTTTTTTTTGGCCTGGCTAACAAAGATCATTACATAGATAATTGAGTACAAATAGTCAGCACAAGGAATATAAGAACCCCCAACAAAAAAAACGTAGCAACACCGTGCACCACGAAAATTGCATGACAACGAGACAGCCCACGATGATAAGGAGCAAAGTCTCCGCGACCATCATTGTACGTAATTGGAATGGACTGGGCCAAGGCATATCTTCTGTTTTGTTGTTATGATGGTGGGCTATAGCCATTGTTAGTTTGTTTGGTTTGGGCCTAATGCAATTGCTGGGCCCATGTAACTGTATATTCTATTTGTTTTCCTCGATTAAAAAATAAAAACAAAAATGAATTTTCAGTTTGCCTCTTCAACGACGACGTTGCTGTATATTATTAAAACCCTCTTCCCCAAAATGCCCTTATAGTTCCCGCGCAAAACAAATAGCAAATGGATACAACGAGACGATCAAAACCCTCTTCCCCAAATCTGAACCCGCCATGGCCGCCACCGTCACAGCCAGGGAACAGTCGAAGTGCCGGAGCCCTCCGCCACTGACGGATGTCGATATCGTGCGCCTGGCCCAACAACAACCTCAAACCTGCGCACCCATCCCTCCATTTCTCCTCACCCCAACCTCACACCAAACCCTCATCTCCTTCCTCCACTCTCGCTCCTCCTCTCCCTCTCCCTCTCCCTCTCCCTCTGTCTCCATCGCCGAATACACTTCCTCCCTCCTCTCTCTCATCTCTCTCTCTCCTCACACTCACCCTTCTCTCTCTACCCTCCTCTCCTCTCTCCTCCTCTCCTACATCGACCTTTTCAATTCCCACAAAATCCCCCACGATCGTAATTCTCTCAACACCGTCCAACTCTTCGCCGTCCACCTCGAAAATGTCCCCGACCAAGATCTGACTTCCGTTGCTGACTCAATCACTTCGAATCTATCACAAATTGTCGATCCTGACGATGCTCAGCTTCTCGATCTCCTTCCTAAATGTCTTCAATTAATTCGCAATTCAAGTGAGATTGAAAGGAGTGGCGATTACGTGAACTCAGTGATTGATCATGTTTTTGGTTGTGATTGGTCTAAGGTTTTGCTGGCGAAGATGGTGTCAATTGTTAGAGAGTTTTCGTTTCTTGATAAGGGAAGGCATAGGGATTTTTTAGAGAAGGTGTTTGGTGGAATGAAAAGGGTGGAATTGCAGGACTTGCCTTCCTTGGTTTATCAGTTGTTGGTTTTGGCCTCGAAGGGGTTTAACAAGAGGGAAGTGATTGAAGGGATCGTGATGTTTTTTGGGTCGAAAATGGCGTCAAGGGGGAGTTCGATAGTTCGGCAGGTTGAAGGGACTGTGTTGCTGCATGTGAATTTTGCGGTGAAGCAGGATCCTTCTCTGGGGCAGGAGGTTATGGGACTTTTGAAGTCTGATCTTCGTGCTTTTAACCATTTTACTGTTGCTGTGATGCTGTCAGTTGCTAGGGTTCGGAGGTTCAGCGATACTGCAATGGGGATTCTGAAAACCGCTTTAATTACGGTTAATCGGGATTATAAGTTTGCCAAGTAAGGTTAAAATGTTTTTTAGATTCACAATTGTGTTCATTCTGAAGGGTAGACATCTTAACAATTAAGGTAGATTATGTGGTTTATGAATGTCCATGGAACTGAATCACTCTGATGTGTCAAATGTGTGTTAATGTTGTTTATTTATTCCCTATTAAATGTTTGAATTGGGTGTGCTTTTTGGTTCTATGTTCAATAAATGATCCGATTTGCAATTCGTTTTTGGTTGGTTGTTACAACTTGACATAGTGTGTGTATCATCTTCACAAGGTGGTATCTAGTGCATGGTGCTGAAATCATCTCTGATTCTTGGTTGTGGGCATCAAGGCAAATATTAGTTCAATAACTTTGGGTCTCATGAATGTAGACTGAGGTTAGTCTAGGATGGGCACATATGACTTAGTCAAACACAGTGGCCTTATTTGTTTTGCATGGCACATCTTAGACACCTCCATACATTCTGTCCTTAACTATGGTGTAGCAGCTTAGTTCAACATAGATAATTATTCTTCTTTATGTTACTGGAGTAATTGGTTGTTTTATCATCATCTTACAGAGGCTGCAAATGGCTACCAGATGATTTGAGGGAAAAATGCCTGCAAAGTGTGAAAATAGTACAGAAGTCTGTCCTAAAAGCTGTACATCCCTTTTCCTTTTTCCTTCTACGTATTTTTGCACTTCTGTTCCTTGATAATTGGACATATATGTATTGCATAAATAATGTATAGGATGTTAATTAGTCCGCTATTGGCAGATACCCTCCTTAGCTTACAATTGTGTTCTGAAGGTGTCAACATACCCTCCTGAATCCTGATACGATGTTTGAAAACATAAACTTCAAAATGAAACATAAAAGGATATAATCTTTGCATAGAGGAAAGGCATCAATTGGATGGTATTGGTTGATGAATCTGGGGTGATGTGTGTAACAGGATTATGACTGCATGGCATCTTGTGTTAACTGACGTTTATCTTTTGTTCAGCAAGTCATAGTTTTTAAGTTGATTTAATTTATGTAATTAATCTTCCTGGTTTGTAGGTTGGTGAAAGCAATTATGGAAGGGAGCATATGGTTCCTAGCATTGTACAGCTTGGATTTGTATTGCTAGAATCAGTAGAAGAGAGAAACAATAAAGAACATTTCAAGTTTGATGGTCTGATGGGTACTGAGGAGCTTGGTATTCAGATGCTGAAAACTTTATTTGAGGTTCATGAAATTGCGAGAAATGAGGTTAGTATGGTATAGAAACTTCGAAAATCTAAAAAAAACATGTGTAGCAATGTTCCTTGCAAACATAATTCTGTATTCAGCACAGAACGTTGATTACATGGTTTTCCTTTACAATGCATTGTTAAGTGGCTCATCATGGGGGAAAGTATCTCTTGGAAGCTTAGTAGAGGTTTAACATCCCTAATGTAGACCCTTTTAAGTAGAATTTTCTGTACATTCTGGAACGTAGGATTTCTCACTTGTCCAAACATCCTTGTTGATGAACTTGATTAACGTCAAGCATAAAATGGGCACATTGGTCTGTCCAACAAAGCTGATAACAAGTTTTTCAGGTTGTTGTTCATTCAAACATGGTTTTTTATTTTTATTTTATTTTACTTTATTTTTTGACGTGGCGTCATATTCTAATTTTCCTCACTACCTTACCCACATCCTTCTTGGTGATCTCTTTTCCTTGTAGAACCTTCAAATTGGGCCATAATAATTTCTAGTTAGCGTATTGGGTTCTCTTTGCGCATAGTGAAATCATTTTACTCGCTTTTTCTGTCATTGTCTTTTAGTCCCCACATTGGTAGACCATATTGTTACTGAATGTGTATTATTTTTACCTCAGCTAACTTTTTGATCAAATTTTTCTGAAAGTACTTCAATCTATGATGAAGCTGTCATAAGTTTTCAAGTGCTGCTCATTGACATAAAGAAAAATGTTGCTCAGTAGATCAACATGTTTGACAAAGCTTAACTTAGGTTCTTTCTCTTATGATTATGAAAGTTCATTAAATTATCACAGTGACTTCGGTGGAAATTAATTTTTTTTTTTTTCCTGAATTCTGGTGGAAATTAATTGATCTTCAGTATCTTTTCTCTTTCAGCATATTTTATATACCTCATCTTCTATGAATGCGTAAACATTTACTAGAAGAAAAGTCCTTCATATAATTGAAAATTGTACCAACTATATTAAAGGTATAAGATTTTGCAGACTTGTGGATAGTTTATTTTATAAATTTTGTTGCAGATTGTGGAGCAATGCAAATTTCGTATCCTTTCTTCGAAGTCCGAACATAGCTTTCCAATCATAAGGTAACTTGTAAATAGCCTTGTATTTTATCTTTTCGTTTGATTGATGGAAAATGGTGTGTATAATTACTTTTATCTGCAGGCTGCTTGGTTATCTGGTTCAGGATTGTCCTTATCCAATGTTGGAATATGTTTCACGCCTGAAGGAATTGTTGGATTATTTTACTTTCATGCATGGCAAGATTGCCGCATTCCTTCTTTCTGCTTTATTGCCCCTCATCAAATTCAGTCATGATCTGCGGGTACTAATCTTATCATGTCTCAACCAGGCAATGAAATCACAATATTTTTAACGTGTACAATATCAACTTTCTATTGTGTTTTCCTAAGTTTCTGGTACACCAAAAATCTGTTATAAGAAAATCAATTATTCAACCAAAGATGTGATGAATATGCTTTCAACTTCCGTTCTAAAGATATATAACAATAAATTTCATTTATAATTGCATAAAATTTTGCAATCAGTGTTGATATTCTGAAGTGGAATTTACTTTTGTAGTGATTGAGAAACTACATTTAAGACATTAACGTTTATCCTTACATTGCTTTAATCTCTCTCTCTCTCTTTTAAAATTGTTGATGCAGGATTACACTATATTGGTCTTGCGCAAAGCTATGTTTAGACAAGAAGATACAGTTCGTTTTGCTGCAACTACTGCCATTATTGAGCTGATTCTGACGGAAAAGCAATCTAGAAAAGATGGCCCATATTCTTTTCAAGAATCATCAAGCCAAGCCAGTTGCAGCCAGCAAGCCGAGATCCCCTGTGGCATGGGGTCTGGTCTTTTCCAAGAGCTGAGTGGTTTGCTGCAGAGATGTCTTTATCAGCAGGTGCTATATGAAACTTCTCTATTCTTCTTTTGTATAATCATGGTGGTTATCTATCTATCTATCTATATTCTTTTGAATCCTGTTTCTCATTATAGTTGGCTTGATGTGTTCAGGCAAAAGTCAAGGAGATCCTGTACCATGGGCTTGTGAAGCTTGTATTGGTGGACCCATCAAGTGCTGGAGCTGTTTTTGATTTTCTCTTGCCTCAATTCCTTCGTTTTTACAGAGAGGTTTATATCCATAGGTTTATGTTAGCTTATTCATGGAGCTTAGTATATAATTACATAAACCCAAGGTTTTGTCAATGCCAAAGCGTGTATAGCACAGTGATTCAGTATTGGCATAGGATCTAAAAGGGAGGGTGGCTTATGGGTTCAATTCTTGCAGTTGATAAAAGAAATTATAATTGAGGAATATGTTGTGTTGCTCTATTTCAAAAGGAAAAGTCACGTGCAGCTACCTTTTTATGCGTCTGGCAACTCAATTCCACACCTTACATTAGCTCATAATGTTCGCAGGATGCAGATATTCAACTTGCCATTAGTTGTTGCATTAAATCAGAGAAGGGACGAGTTTCTGTTGTTGAGCCATTAGATTGCCTTCTATCTTGTGTTTCTTGGATTCTTCTCCTTCAGCCAAGTGGTAAAACTGATCACCCCACAGACTCTTCATGGGCATGTTTTGGCTTCTCTCTTTCACAAGAGAATGAGGTATTGTTATTTTATTTAATGAAATCATGCATTTCATGTTAGCATCTATCACACTGAATTAATTTCCGCAGGCAGGAAGAATTTTGTCTAGGGAGTCATTCTCCAGTGCTTTACTGAAGATAAGGAAATTTTTGACAAGTGGAAATTTGGAAGGTATATGAAGAATTTGAGACATTTCTCTCTATATATTTATCTATCTAGAGAGAATCCAAGTGCATTGCAGATGATGTGATATACTTCTTTTACATGTCAGATCAGGCATACTAGGTCAGACTCAGGATGCAGGTACTAAACCTCTTGAAGATGAGAGCTCCAATTGTTGTGCTTTCATGTTAATGGGAATTGTTGAGGTGGTGTTGAATACTGTTGCTACTGAGTTGGAGAAAGCAACAGATGCAAGGAAGTCGGATCTGGAAAAGGAGCTTGTTGCACTTATTGATCTTTATGTCTCTTTGGAAAAAGAGACTTGTACATCAAGACAGGGTAATGGGATCAGAAAAGGGAGCCAACGAAATGCTTCTCATAATATCATGGACAATGGTAATTCAGGCAACTCAAAAGTTTCTCAAGACCGAGTGCCTTTTTTGGCTACTTCATGTATCTACCAGCTACTGCAAACAGCACACAAACTATATACTAGTGATTGCTCTAGTAATGTTGCAGCTTCCCAGAACCATAGCCAGTCCTCAAATACGAAAAAATCAACTGGATATTCTAAATTTATTTCTTTTGTCTTGAATGCTTCCCTCCGTCATATTAAATCTTTTGCTGTGGGCAAAGATGATCCACTGAATAATTTGATATATGGAGATACAAAGGTGTTGGGACCCCCGTTGTTGAAATTGGTTTGGCTGCTGAAATCAGGGCCAAAAATTGAGACACATCAAAAGAAAAAGGAGGCTAAGGGAAAGAAAGATGTTGAAGACAGAAAAGAATATATCCATTTGGCCTTAACCTCCTTGAAGGAATTGATAACAATTAGTTTGCGAAGCGTAGAACAGAAGGGCTTGATTGAAGATCTGTTGTCATTCTCAACACTTGAGAATGCATCAAGAAATGCCGTGGATGCTAGTTTGGATGATGAATGTGAACTACCCTCCAACGCTGATGACCAACATACAAGGAGCAAGGAATTACTTATTAAAAGGATCATAAAGCCATTGCTTTCTGAGCTTCTTGAACTTTCATTTTTCCATGAGGCTGAGGTAAACTTTATTTCGATCTATCAGTATTTTGATCAAATTTTTTATGCTTCACTGAAGAATCGGGCTGAATTCAATCCACTAATGGCTCATCCACAGTCGTTGTACTTGTTCAAACCCCTTTATGTGGAGTGGACAAGCAAAAACTGATGTGGATTAAGCCCCCTTATTTACTAAATCCTATTTAATTCTATAGATAAAAACATCTAAAGCATGGTATGTTATCAGATTCTCTGTGATATAGTAGCGCTGATTGGGAACAATTTGCACTGCGAACGGAGAAACTTTCTTGGTGCCTGGGCAGCACGTATCTGCAAAGGCAGTCAAATATCAAATTCTAAGTTTGCGAAAAATGTGGTTACAATTGCTGTCTGTTTAAGTTCACCTCCAAATGATTTAGTCGTCGCTCAAGACATAGCCAAGGAGTTGTTAAAAGTCATGGGATCAGAGAGCAGCAGTTCGCTGGAAACGTCTGAGACATACCCTATCATAAACCACTCAACAGTCACTCCAGTGGCTTCTTCTATACTGCAGTTGATTGAATCTGTTTTTATTGATATTGATTGGGCCATTATGAAATTAAAGTCCTACTCAGTTTCCGAAAAAGGCATGTCCCTTTCTCAGAGTAGAGAAGTAGCTCCTGGATTGGCATTAGAAGAGGTTCTTTACTCTAGGACTGAAGCAGTGGTGAAGGTGTTATCTTCTTTTGTTTTGATGCACCTTAAAGGTAAGTGTTGTACTAATTAATGGGGTTATCTGTAATCTAATTCTTATCCTTTTTCTTAATTGAAAGAGAAAATTATGCAGATCCTCAAGCAGAGCATTTGCTCAGATTGGCTGTAAGGTTTTACAAGCTTTTAGCTCGAGTGTCAAAGCTTTGGATTGCTCCTAAAGGTCGCAAGCAACTTATACCCAGTCTTAAGTTCCAGAACCTTGTTGAAATTATAAGCAAGCAACTCACAGCTCCTCTATATAATTTTTTGGGGCTGATGCAGCGGGTATGTAATCTGGACCTTTTGGTTATTCTTGCTTATTGTACTCTTTCCAGCTTCATAAAATTATGTGTTTTTTTACTTCTAACTTCTTGATTGGTTCATGTTGTTATACTGGAGTTGCAGAATCAGGAAGAGAATGCGAGTGGCAAAGGAATTATGAACAAGATCAAAAGGGAGAACAGATGCATCCCGGACTTGATTTTCCAGATAGAAGACTATGAAAAATACCTCATCCAACTTAGTAAGGCGAGCAAAGTCAATTTGTTGAGGCACGCCAAGCGTAGCACTTCCAGGGATTTTAGAATATTAGAACCAGAAAAGAATGTCGAGGAAGAAGATAATTCGAACCATGAATCCAACAATAATAATTCTACTGCTTCTCAAAATGAATCTTGTGAGGAATCTGAAGATGGCGAACCAAATGGATCCAAGACTGTTTTATCATCCGAATCTGGGTCTGATGGTGAAGGTGGAGATGTCCTTCCCAATGCCAAGAGAGCGAAAATGAGTACGGTTGTGCAGGACTCGGATGATGAAGCATCCTCATAACAAAAACTCAAGGGCCTAATATGGCAGGCTTAGCTTAGTGGGGCTGATGGTTGTATATATTTTTTTCAAGTCTAATTCACACATTAATTGGCACAAGATTAAATGTCTTTTTAATCTGAAACATTAATTATTTTTCCAAGTTATTGAAGTTTCTTGGCGATGTTCAGGATGGCTATGTGAAGAGGCTGTAGCAATAGAAAATTGCAGTTCTCGATGTTGATTTATAAAATATGCACTAGGTGAATCTCACATCTTGACGTCAAAAGTGAAGCTGTATTTGTTTCGACAACATTGTCAGAGAAGACTGTTTGTTAAGTTGTGCACGATCCATGCACCAAAAGGACATAAAAATCCAACTTCGGTGTTTCAAATTAAAATATGTTTGTAGATTAATTTGTTTGTATTAATCTTATCAAACTTAGCTAATACATATTACTTTAGATAATATAGTTTCTCTTTTGAAAGAAATTAAATATTCGAGCCATGCAATGTTTTTCTCTTTTCTAAATGTGATTAAATATTCGGGACCATGCAATTTATGAATTTGTTTTTTTTTGTAAATGAGATTAAATATTCAAGCATGATTTTTTTTATAAAAAAAATGAAATTAAAATATTCAAGCCAGTGCTTGTGCACATTTGCTTGAAGTTTAGACTTTAGAGGTGAAAAAATTGGTCAAATGGAGTTTCTGATATCTATTTAAATGTGACGTGCAAAGTGGCGGTCTTCGTACACGGTAGGAAACGAGTCCACTACCATCAACGTAAATACCCAAAACACGCACACATTCCCACACACACGAGAAAAGAAAGAGAGACACACAGTTCTACTCGAAGAACACTTTTCAAAACTCCAAGGACTCTAAACCAAATCAAATCGGAACAGAAACGAAATGAGTGAAGAAGCAAGGAGAGTCAGAGTCGGAGCTTCCGACGATCGGAAGCCCTCGTCTTCACCATCACCGGCTGGCAAGAAAGTCATCATCAAGAGCGCCGACATGAAGGACGACTTGCAGAAGGAGGCCGTCGATATTGCCATCAACGTACCTCTCTTTCTCTCTCTCTCAAAATTGCTCCACTTCATTGTATTGAAATTTAAAACATTTTCAATATATATATATATATATATATATATATATATATGTATGTAGGCGTTTGAAATACACAATGTGGGGAAAGATGTAGCTGAGTATATAAAGAAAGAGTTCGATAAGAAGCATGGCCCCACCTGGCACTGTATTGTCGGTAAAAATTTCGGTAACATACCTCTCTTCATCACCCTATTGCTTTCCTTTTCAGTTCCCATTTTCTAATATACAATTGTATTATAATTATTTTGGTATTATTAGAAGTGATTGTTAGAGAAAGTTTTGCTTTGATTGATAGTCGATACAAGCATTTCTGGATTCTATTTTGAGCATAGCAATTTGCTATTGTCCTCCTTAGAAATGACAGAGATCTAGATTCAATTCGGATCCACCCTGACTTATTTATTTTGCTCAGATGTTGAAAATGTTGCCCTCTTCCATTTCTTGTGGTGTGTCTAGTATTTGTTTGATCCACTAGCAGTGGGTACACAAATTCTCATAAATATCTGCCACTTATTATCAAGAAAAAATGTAACAAATATTCCGTTGCAGATTCTCAATGCTGTCCGTGTTCATCAATTTTGAATAAAGTAAAATGTACGTTATATATATGTATGGTACTATGGTTATGTATATCTGACATTATTTAGAGACACACACTTGTGAATTGGTAATGGGATAACATCCATTTATGGTTGTTTGGTTCAAAAACATTGCGAGAGAAACAAACTGAATGTGTTCTAAACAAGAAAATTGGAAAAATACTGCTCTAAGTTCTTGGTGCGTATTATCAAACACAGGAAAAGTGCACGAATGATCGCTCTCTTACTAAGTGCCATAGACAAATTGATTTGATGAACAATAAATTTGATCGTGTTTGATGGCCCTGATATTCAATTGTTCTATTTGAACTCTTGAAGATATCGTTTTTGAGATAACCTTGATATTCGTTTATTCTATTAGAAATATCCTGTGATATTCTCTGAGTTATGTTAATTATAGTCTCAATAATCCATAATGCCCTTACTCAACATAAGGTCGTACTTTTCTACTGAACTCAGTGTGTGATTGTTTGCTTTTGTTTTCTTCTTCTTCTTTGTGTGCATGTGTGTGTGTGTATTGGAGTTAATTTGTTAACTGTAGTAGGCCTACCTGACCGTCTTCTACTCTTCCATACTGATTTTTTTTGAAGAAAAGGGATGATTGGGACCAATAGTTTGTTGGTTGGAAGTGCAAGATTGCTTGTAATGTACATGATGGAGACAGTAAGTGAATCTCTACCATTATAAAAGATGATGACAATGAGCCTCACAAGTATGCTTCAACTTTTAAATGTTTTTGTATATGATATACATAACTCAAAATGAATTTTGTGAATATGAGTGTTCGTTCAAAATAATTCCAAAAAATATAGACACACAATAATAATGCTCATAGAAGGTGATGCTGACAGTTAAAGCTTGGATCAACTAAGATTTCAACTAAATTAGTGATGCATTTGAAGTGGCACAGAATCACAAATAGATGGTCCATGCTGAAGTTCTTTAGGCAATGAATCTATAAGGTTGATAATTTTAGTTCACTTGATTTATATGACATATAAAACAATAATTTTAAAATACTCTAAAAAAGAATCAAAACAATCTGTCGCTCCCAACATGCATCTCAGTATAGATGCCTGTGTGAAACCCTTCTTGATCATTTGCTGTTGGTGATCATTTTATATACGCATAATAGAACTGTACAAAATGATCTTATGTGCACACATCTACATTTAATGCATTAGTTTCAGAACTAGCATATGGGAAGGTGCAATTGTGTTATTGTAGTATTATACATATTTATACATATAATAGAATTGAACAAAATGATCTTGTGGACACTTCTGAAATTTGATTCATTATTTTCATAACTAGGGAAAAAAAGAATGAGCTCTGTGTATGCTTTCAATTTTGCACTATCAATAGAATAACTTAATTGGCCAATTTTTGTTACTATAATAAACTTCACAATATCAATTTCTCTAGAGGATACAGAAGTTGAATATTTAAAAAAACAGAAATAAATAACTTGTTTGTATGTATAAATTTTAAGGACGTTTACAAGTTTAATTTTTTTCAGTAGAAATTTCCAAGATTAATTATTCAATGTTGAAATCCATAAAATCTGGAAGGTGCGGTTTTTCACATCCATCATCTTGAATGATACATTCTATTTAACCAACTATTACTACTCCATATTTGTATGGAAATATGGTACTACTCCATTTCAAATAGGTTATATGACATTATATGAACAGAATAGTATATAGTTTAGCTACCTTGTTTATACTATGTTGGATCTATTATTAGTGTACCAACCTATACTTCTCAGCTGTAAGTTCTACACTCACCTCTGTCTCCTACCTTTTATATAGATATCTTCCTCCCTAATGGACTAATTAATGGCTAAAATAACTCTTCACATAAAATATTCTAGAAATTTACAAACACTGCAAGCTTTCAAATGTTCTTGAATCCTCCACCTACTCTACAACACAACTTTCTACACAAATGTATAAGACACTGGAATCAACTCTCCACATAAGCCATTATGATGCAATACAGAGTTCTACTCAACACTTGTATGTTGCTTGTGTGGCGTAACCTCCTTACATATTGGCAGGACTTGTGTGTAGCTTGTGTGGCGTAACCTCCCTACACATTGGCGGAGTTTGTGTCGCTTGCATAGTGTAACCTCCCCGCATATTGGCGGAGCTTGACATATAAATTTCTTATTTGTTGATAGGACCACCAAAGTTTTTCTACTAATTTTCTCAAGTCATTTTTACTCTACAATATGAAGAGGAACTATTTGGCTGCTGAGCTAGCTGCATCAATCATTTCTTTCTTCGAATTTCATCATCGTCATCATCCTTGTCTTTATCCCATAGAGATGGGATGCCATCTCTTTGAATTTCCTTAATCAAAATTGTTTCTATTGGCTTGGTCGTGAAGCTTTTAATTAATATGGAGAACACTTAATTTTTTTTTTTTGTCTTGGTCTATTAATTATTACTGGCTTATAAGAAAAGATGAATACATAAATTGTTTGAGTTATATATAAAGTTTCATTGATCATTTAATATTTTGTGGTTTTTTTGTTTAGGTTCTTATGTGACTCACGAGACAAATCACTTTGTGTACTTGTATTTGGATTCAAAAGCAGTATTGCTGTTCAAATCTGGTTGAGCATGGTGAGAAAGTGAACTGCTTCTTTGATGACAGTGATGCTACAAGCTATAACAATTATGTATTAACTAAAACTTGCTAGCATGCAAAAGATCTCTGTCAAGACGAATATGTGCTTAAACTTGTATATTTGTTTTGACTTTAATTAATTGAGCTGGAACTTTTAATTGCATTGAACTCGGTGTTTCAGCTGGTTGAGTTTTGTTTGTTAATCATCAAAAGGAAGGCATTGATACATGCATGGTTAAAAACTTGGAAGCAGCCAGTGGATGTTTTGAATGCCTCTTGTATCAATGTTTGTGTAGCTCTGTCCTCGCAACATAGAGCATTGCAAATAATGTTAATACAGATAATTGTGTGACCGTTTGTGATTAGTGGAGACCATATAACCCCTAATAGGAGTCCTAATATTTGAAATACTAGTAATAAATAAATAAATGCATTATTGATTGTACCATGTACTTAGACACCAACTTCATGACAAAATAATTTTGTTTCATGGTGCAAATATGGAAGGGCAGCATGGGCTATAACTGTCGTTTTCCGTTGTTTGGAACGTAGTGGGGCATCTAAGTGGCAGACCCAATATATTCCAATTATGGTAGCATGGCCCTCCCACTCTTATCTCTGAGAATCCTCTTTCCATGGTTTTATACCCTCACGGGCACACTGACAAAGTATAAATTCTATGATCCTCATGGAGATTATTTTGGTCCTAATTGCTCCTTTTTACCATGCTTTGAAATTCTATGCCCACCAATATCCAAGATTGATAATTATTTTTATTTATCATAACTCATTTTTTCAACCTCATTTCACTTCCTTTTTCCTTTGGATTCATTTGGTTAGCGTGAAGTAAATAGAAAGAAAAAGAAACAGAAAAGAAAATTAATTTTTGAAAGTTTGGTTACCTAGGGAAAATTTTTTGGAATGTGGGATTCCCGCATCGATAAATTTTCTCAAAATATTTCTCAATATAAAACACAAGAAAGTTTACTTTCTCGCACCAAACTATCATTTTATTTACAAAATTTCTATTATGCCCGGTTGTTTCTCCATTTTTTTTTCACTAGTTATTAAATTCAGACTTAGGAAATATTCCAACCACTATTATATATTAGGACACATAATTTGATTATATCCAATACGTTCGTTATCTAAAATTTTTAGAAATAAATTAAAAGTGGAATGGTAGAAATAATATAACTTTTAATTTTTATCAATATCTCAATAGAAATGTGGGAAGAGATTAATTTGAGTCATCATAATATTTCTATGACATAACAATTTCACATGGATGGAAATTCATATAATATTTATTTTTTACTATCTATACAGTTTTGAACTGAATTGAGTTTTATACTAAAAATTTGCATAGAAGTGGTTCATATTTATAAAAAATATGAAAGGGAATTGATAAATTATGCATGAATCATAAAATTATTATGCGTGAATTATAAAATATGTTACTTTTGCATGACAATTTTTATCCTAGAGTTGCATTTAATGTTTCTTGGAGGGGGCTTAAAAAAAGATATATTTAATAATTCAATAAAATATGAGTATGTGTTATCATAAATGAACTATATTCTACATATAAATATAAATAATTATTATTGAAAACACAAAATAAAAAAATCTGGCAACTAAAATGCAGTCCTACTAGTTTTTCTCAATCTAAATAATAATAATAATAATAATAATAATGATGATATTATTATTATTATTAATTCACTATTTTATAATAAAACATGAGTATGTTATGATAAATGAATTATATTCTACATATAAATATAAATAATTATTATTGAAAACAGAAAATAAAAAGAATTTGACAATTGAAATGTAATCCTCCTTAGTTTGTCTAATTTAAATATGAATATAAATAATAATAATTATTATTATTAATCCATTATTTTACTATTTAATTGCTAAAAATTAATTTATTTTTTAATATTTAAAATCATGAGGGTAGTTTTGGTATGTAAATTATTTTCTTTTCTCTTTCATGCTATCTAAATTAATAAAATAATATTTTCTCACAATTTTCTTGAAAAAATTTCTTGCTAACCAAATGCATTAAGTATCCTCTAATTAAGTATCCTCTAATTACAATTCTAAAGCGCAGTGATGTAAAACATGTTGCTGCTGATTATAGAGACTGTTTGGACTGAACATATTTTTTGGAGTGGGGTTGAAAAAAAAAAAATGATTGGTTTCAGGGGATTCCACAATTGCCAGTATTTTTGGCTATATGTCGTGTTCAATAATAAGTTGTTTCCGTACAACTGTGGTTACTTTGACTCATCATGTGTAGTGCCAAGGCCTTATAAATCTCAAATATAGAATTTTGAGAATACATTATATTGGAATGAGCATAAAAGGAGAGATAGAGGACATACAATTCTCCCTCTTGTTTTTCTTTTGTTTGGAGCTGGGGAAAGTGCAATCGTCCTCTTTCTTTTTCTTTTGTTTGGTCAAGTAGAATATAATTTTTTATTTTTTGAAAGTTGAAAATATAAAAATTCGTCTTGATTTAATTTTCTATAAACTCATTATAAAAAGATTTATTTTTATATAACTATTTTTTATAATTATTTAAAAATAAATTTTTATTTTTTAAATTTTTGATAATTGTTTTTTTAATGACAAACTAAGTCCGAAACATTTTATTTTTAATACCTTTCAATATAACAAAAAAAGCTCAAACATTCAAACTTGAAAATTGATACTTCCCGAGTATGTCTCTAATTTTTTTCTTACCAAAGTCACTTGGTAATGATGACTTTTAGATCCCATTACTTTTCAAAAATAGTGATAAAAAGACAAAAATTGTGAATTGGTACTCTCACTTTGTACAAAACATTATGTATGTCTCTATTTTTTGCTTGCTACTTGATAATAGCTCTGGGCTACAGTGAGAAAATTTCCAATTGGTAAAAAAAAAAGAAGAGAAAAGTGAATTGCCACACTCATTTCGTACAAAACAATACGGATGTGTGTAATCTGTCCTTTCCAACTGGACCTCAACACATAATGGCTTTTGACGATGAAACTCTTTATCTTTTTCTTTGAAAGAAAAAAGATACCACTCAAACAAAAATATTACAATTTAAAAAATAAAAAGTGAATTTTTTTTTCCTAGGAATAAAAAGTGAATCGGTTCTCTCACTTTATGCAAAACAAATGTGTATGTTTCTAATTTTTTCTCTCCGAAGTGAAGTGAAGTGAAGTGAACCAGAGCAATATATATTTTGAGGAAAATGCGCATAAGTTGGAAAACAACATTATTGATCATTATTATATATATATATATATATATATATCGTAGTTTCGTAGTACAAATACGTCCATGGCTGTCCCAAAGCAAACGACAATTCTCATGAACTCCATCTAAGTTTATTGCTTAAAATTAAGTACTCTAATAATCACCTTAATTCTAAAATAGACCAAAATACCAAAAATACCCTTAAAAATCTGCATTGATTGAATCCCATACTTCTCAGCCTGCAGTTCTAGTGCCAAAAACAACCATATGGGGAAAACCAAACCGTGGGCACTGAAACTAATTTGGCTTCACGGACAGGGAATTTTAGAAAGAAAACCAAAAAGGAGGACATGAGAGTCATTACAAAATCTGGTGAGGTTAAGACCGGAAGGAAATAAGACGTACAATTAATATCCTCTCATATCGGTACTGATCATCATCACCATCAGTATGCAAAGCCATTTGCTCGATTCCTTGTCCCTATGCGATTACTACGAGGAGATGAAGAAGAAGATGATGAAGAAGAGGTTTTGTATGGTAATTTCATGGCAGAGAATGAACAGTTGTTCCCTCTCTTAAAAGTCTCCTCCTCGTCCATGAACATTTGCTTGCACCTGCACTCTACACTACAAAATGCTCTGTCCCCCCTGCACATATAAAATAATATAATTAAAAAAATAATTATACATGCTCTCTCTCTCTCTCTCTCTCTCTCTCTCTCTCTCTCTCTCTCTCTCTATATATATATATATATATATATATATAATACATAAACACCCTTATGAAAATGTTTTGGACCCAGTCTAATTAAACTTTGAAGTTAAACCATGGACCAGTAGACGTTATAGCTGGTCGATCTATATATATTCAACTTAGTTCCATCCATTATATATATATATACACATATATACAGAAATCTTGTTTGTTCACTGGTGTGCAAGAAAATACATGGGCGATTCAAATATTAACTGTTAGATCTCGTTGTTAATGTTATTATATCCAACGATGAGGAATTAATTGGTGGTCCAATAAATTTTGATAAAAGAAACAAACTAGCATGAGTGCAATACTAGCTAGATATGTATTAAAATAGTTTGTAGTGAAGCTTAAAGGTGAAAGTTGGTGTGAATATATATATATATATGTATGTATGTATGTATTATGTATGAGATATATGTGTACTTACTTGTACATGTAGATGTCTTTTCCAGGCAAGAGTTTATGTTTGCAGAGAAAACATTGGTCCAGAAAACTACTAGTAGTTGGCGGAAGAGTAGTTGAAGAAGAATTCCAAAGCGGAGATGCAGGTAGATGAGGATGAGGATGAGGATGAAGAGAGGGTTTGGTGATGCAGGTGATTTTGTTGATAACTTGTGGATGATTTCTCTTATTAATATCTGCCTTCTGCCCTTCTAGTACTATACTTAGTCCCACCATATCTCTCATGTTTCTCCTCCTATATATTCTGTATATATATCTCTCTCTATGTATCTACTGCTGGTGGTGGTGGTGGAGGGCGGTGGTCACGGCGAGGTTTGGTGTTGATGAAAAGATGAGAGAGATAAATAAGGGAGAGAGAGAGAGAGAGAGAGAGATGGGGGGAGATGTGGGGAAAGAATGGAACAAAGGGGAGTGGTGGGATCCTCCAAAAACCCAATAGAGCTGCAGCAGAGTGAGGAGCAGTGAGGACAAGTCCCGTGGCAAAGGATCCAACCTCTAGTGCTTGTTATGTGCCACGTTTACTTTTTTGTTTTGTACTCTTCTTCTCTTTATATATATATATATATATAATAGTAATATATATGTTGGACATTTTCAATATTTTTGAATTTTGGTTTTGATGTGGTGGGGGCTTGAGTGAGTGTGACAGGCCTAGCTGCACGTTGCGTCTATTAAGATCATAGTAAAAAGGGTTATGGTCTATATATGGCTTTGTGAAACACTGTGTCGAATGTCCATCCACATTCCATGCATGTTAGGGCCATTCACAACTCCATCTTACCAAGCCTCTTATATGGTTAGGAGATTCAGTGCACCAGCGAGCACCACAATTACATCGTCCATTCAACAAATTTTAAAAGAGATATATATATATATATATATATATTCAACATTATATTGAAGGTATAATACTTATGTAATATATTATATCATATTACAATGTTATAACATTACTAAATTAAAACTTTAATAGTACATTTATAAAAGTGAAGCAAAAGAAAAACTTGACTGATGGGAAGGGATGCATTAATTTTTTTATTTTAAAAAAAAAATGGAGAAGAAAAACTATGTATTTGTATGCATGTATATCTCAAATGCGTACATATATATGTATGCATGTATATCTTACATTCTTATGGAAAAGATAAAACAATATTCACAATTTAGGAAGTAGTAGTAATCTCAACCTCGTCACTTGTTTGAAAATCCCTACATGTTCTACTAAATGGATATGGATGTAACTTGGACTTTTTTAAAACCTATGAAGCACCAATATTCTTTTCAGAAGTTTCGTATCAGTATCGAATACTTTTTTAACACAAATATGCGTGTTCGAGATTTGGACACGTGTTTGACACTTATGTGAAGTATCCAAAAATTATTTTTTATTAGACACAGGGTGGATACGGCTCGAACACGCAGGGTATATTTTATAATTTTGTTTAAGTTAAATGGGGTACCTAATGTAATTTATTAATTTTAGAAGTTTAAAAGTAATTTTTTTTATTTATTTTCTCTCACTTACTTTCCCAGTCTCTCCTCTTCTTCAATTAAAACAAATTTTTTTTTTCTCCTCTTCTTTAATTATCTCTGTACATGAACAAGACATTTTTTTAAGTTATATGAACAAGACTTTGTAAAAGACTGAAAGTATATACGTTTAGTCATATACATATTTAGCCCATTATAGACTTTATAGCTATGTCTCTTCTGCACCTCTTCGTTTAGAATTTGGATCAACTTTATTTTTTTATTTATTTCCTATTTTGTCTTATTTATGTTTTTCTTATAACAGATATAAAATTATTCAAATTGGTTCTATTATTTATTGTTATTTTATTTGCAATTTTGTATTTATATATACGTGTTTGTTATTAAGAAAATGAATGTGTAATGTTTTAGTAATTATATTTATATATATAATTATATATTTATATATATATAATTTTATAGGCGTATTCCCGTCATGTTAGTATTTTATTTTTTTTAAATTTATCGTGTTATCGTATGCGTATTGTACTCGTATCTTGTATAGGCATGCATTTATGCGTAATTTTTAGATTAGTAAGTTGGCATGTATTACAATCATTTCATACATAATAATTGTAAAAAATTATTGATCCCAAAAAAAATAAAAAACAAATACATTTTTTTTATGAGACACTGACTAATCAAGTATGGTCACTTATATCGTTCCTACTCGGTTATATATTGAAAACTCAGCCAAAGCAATCCAGGCATTGTCTGACTTAAAAGTGTTGCCTTATTAGTATTAATGTAACATTGTCCATTTGTGAGGTACTAATTAATTGTGAGTAGATGGAGATAGGATTGTGGAAGAAATCATGATATAATACAAGCTAGCATTGGGACCACTGTGTTACATCGATCGAAGTCCACTTTTCTTGCATGTTTGGATGTGGATAAAATCATATAGACTTTATAAGTACCTGTAAAGTAGGATAGATTTATCTCCATTTGTAAATTATTACAGTATTTGTTTTAAGTTGTTTTCAAGTGTGGATAGGTTTATCTCCTTTACTAAATTATTAGTATTAAAAATAGTCAGTGTCATCATTATCATTGCCAACTGATAATATATAGTATTTTTAAAAGGAGTGGCGCCCTAGCCTCTTTAGCAATATGATAGTATTGTTCTAAAACTATCTAAAATTAAATCCCTATGTGAATTTGATTTTTTTAATTAAGACTTCTTTTATTTTGATGTAAAATATTTTTTTAAATAATTTATTTTTATTTTTTAATATTTTGTCAATGTCTAAGTTGATATTAAAATCGAGTCCATCGAATAAACTTATAAAATAACTCGTTCAAAATTAATATATAAATTATTTTATTTAAGTCTTAATTTTTTAAAAAATAAATATTTTACAATAACTAAACATTCAAAAATTAAAAATAAAAATATTTTACATCTAAATAAATTGAGCCTAAATTCGCTACATGCATTACTTGAAGTTTAATATATTTAAGAAAAAAGGTTTAATATTCTCTAAGATTTAAATACTTTTACATGTCACTTTTCATTAAAAAAAAAAAAAAAAAAAAAAAAAAAAAAAAAAAAAAAAAAAAAAAGGAAGACAAATTCACTCCACTTATTGATACATGCACTCCTTAATATAAAAAAACAGTTGATCCTTGTGCCTGGTTGGGTCCCATTTGATCGATATTTTCGCTCCACATCCTACATTCACATGATTAGAGTCGTCTGACATGTTGGGCTACGTGTGTTATGAGAACGATAGGAGTGGTCCGATTGAAGTTGACAAGACACCACACAACATTATGAAACTGTTTGGTTACAAGCTTTTGATTGTATCATTCCAGTTTTAATTCTTTCCATGGTTATACAAAAACCTTTTTGAGTTGGGTGGTCTCGATTCCTTCAATTATAAGTGAAAAGCAACTATTTTTTATATAAAAACAAACAACTCATTTGTGAGATGGTGAATTGGCATTAATATTCCTTACCCAAAAAGAATTGGAATTAGTATTGTCAAAATACTTGCGTTAGAATCAAAAAGGAACCTGTGAGGGAGATTTGGGAACAGACCAATGAGGGTGATGTGTGAATAATTGAGAAATTATTATATTGGTTGGGATCGGGATCATTGGTTCCGATAAATTATTAACAAAGAATAAAATTGACATTTATTTCTGTATTAATTATTAACTGGTTTGAAAAAATATAATAATTTTTCATGAAAAATAGATGTGGGTTGAGGGACCATTTTTCTAGCTCATGAGTCCATGGTCCCAACTGCTACTGATGCGAAAGTGTGTGGGTTTTAATAGAGTGTGTGGGCTTTTATTGAGAAAGGGAAAATATATAATGTGAAATTTCAGATATTTATCTTGTTAGGAAGTAATATTTGTGGCTTCAAGGAGAGTTATATTTATTTAACTGGGCTTCAATTGTCACAGTGTTCTCAAAAAATCTTCTATGATTTATTCCTATTATAGTCCATATCCTAATTATTTCTTCAGTCGTTTTCAATTTTCATGCATGCTTGGCTTCCCTTTGATTTTATTCTTGACAAGATGGGTATCAGAAAAGAAAAAGATTTTATGTGCGTGGATTATCGGATACTTATAAAAGACTTGACACCACTACTATAACAAAAAAATTAAAACAAAAAATAAAAAAATTTGAATGCGTTTAGTAACATTTTTATTTTTTATTTTTACAGTTTTAAGAAAGTAAAAACACAATTTTATTTTTTTTAGTGAAAATAAAAAGTAAAATTGATATTTATTAACACTTGTTATTGTCACAAATTTGAAAACATAAAACAATAATTGTGTTTAGTAATACAACATATTTGTTACAAAATGTACATAATATTCTTTAATTTTTTTATTTTTTTATTTCTATTTTATTTTTTTCATGGCAAGAAGTTTAGGGGTTAGTGATTAGAGGGGATAGTAGATAACTTAAACACGAACTCTCAGACATAGGGAACAACCCAACCACTCAGGCACGACACTTGCTTTCATTAATATCAGAAAACCATAAATCTAGAAAATCTAATTTAAAATTATAAATCTTAAAAATACTCAATACATCATAAGTACAAAATTAAATATACCAAGACACAAACATTTTCACTAATTATGTATATAAATACATGTATATGCATGATGTATACATTTATCATGTGATATATAATATATTTAGCATATGATAATTTATTATGAATAAAAAATATTAAATAATATATCTTATATGTAATAAAATATATATTGTGTTATAATATTGTAAATTAATTATAATTTAGTATTTACATATAATATAATATAGATATGATATATAATAATATAAAATATCTACTACTTAATAATTTAATAACATTATATTCTATATCAAAATTTATTTTGTCACAAAAAATCATTTACATTTTTTTTAATATATTATATATTTAAATATATTTTTATCAAATAAAAAGTAATATACAATATTTAATTTATTCTTGAAGATGCAAGAATTCGTTTCTTCTTTCTCTCTCTAGAATTCTTACCCTTCAATAGAATCCAGAAAATTCCCCCTATTTTCCACCTGTAATGGTCTATTTGTAGGCCATTACCATTATTGTTGTTAATTGATTACATTGGGCCTATATTCAAAAGTTTTCTTCCTTCTGGGCTTGATCTTCCAATGGGCTTGATTTTCCTCGGTGGATTCCCTAGGTTCGGCCCATTCCGGGGCGCTTTGGCATGGATCCTACTTCAATTGTTCGACCCGATCCCGTTCCAGCGAACTGTATCCGGCCCATGCCACTTGCTGCATCCTCAACTGTCCCCATAATTACCCCTTATTGATTAGGGGGTAATTATTAGAGGCTGCTAATGATAACCTGACGGCTCGAGAAGATCGTGTGGGAGAATGGACGGTTAGATTTAGGGGTCGGCGTTTCGAGATTAAAAAAACTCATCGCTTTC